TTTGGGAATTTGGGTGTTTGGGAATTTGGGAATTTGGGAATTTGGGAATTTGGAAATTTGAGAATTTGCAATTTTGGGAATTTGGGAATTTGGAAATTTGGGCATTTGGGAATTTGGGAATTTGGAAATTCGGGAATTTGGAAACTTAGAGATTCCAAAATGTGGCAATTTGTGAATTTGGAATTTTTGAGATTGAAGAATTTGAGAATTTACAAATTCAAGTTTTCAGAAATTTGAAAATTTGTAAGCTTTAGGAAATTTGGGATTTTTACAGTTCAGGATTTCGAGAGTGCAAATTTAGGAATTTCGGATTTTTTGTATCTATGAATTTAGCAACCAGAGAATGTAGAGATTTAGAAGATTTAAGAATTTGACATTTTAGAAATTTCAAAATAAACACTTATTGTTAGAAATTATAGCATCCAAAAATCGAAAAACTTAAGAAATTGAAAATCAAAGGATTTGGAAATGACAAATTTTTCAAATTTACTAGTTTACAACTATAAAATATTAGAAATGATTAGTACTGTACAAAAAATAGAAGAACAAGTATAAAATTAAATTTAAACTCCTAACAACTAAAATTAGTAAGGACACGACTCCGCCATTTAATTAAAAAATGGCGGGATATTTAAACTTTGTTTATAACCTTACCGTCTAAAATTGGTGTTACACCACTTGTAACAACACTTTCCAAGTAACCATGAATATATATTATAGTCAATTTATGCAAATTCATCTGAGATACGATGTGTTTTGCGTTCGGTAAACTAACATCCACAGAAGGGCCATTCCTAAAAAGAAGAAAACGATTAGGCAACGCGCCATTGATTTTAAATTATTTTCTATCTGATTGTTACTTAAATTCCTAAAATTTTCGAGGTAATATGTGTACAATTCTACAACAAATTTAACGTGGTTTAAAATCAATGGATTATCATCTGAACTGAAAATTTTATTTCTCGTCAGATATGCAATTACGTATTCGTATTAAATTACGGGCAGGTATTATGATTCAGAATCAATTTCAAATTTTTCTTATTATCATCTTCGCACCGTTTAACTGTTAAATTTCACCAATTTTTATCGAAAAAGATGTACTGTATATATTTAGTTATTCGTAGTCAGTGACTGATTTGAAAAATAATTTTTCTGGATTATAAATATTTTACTTTTATAATATGGCTCACGAGTGTATTATAAAATAGAAATTATAATTCCATTATAGAAAACAAATTACCTGTTGTAAAAACGTAAGAAGGCTGAGTTCACATTTTCACTAACGTATGAAGCATCTGCGATTCAGAAATAAAAAATATTAATAATTGCTTCAAAATAAACTTTAGTGGAGTAAAGAATAATTCTAAAATAATTGCAGATGAAGATATTAATTAGATTATTAATAAATCAAAATTAGAAGGTACGGTGCCTTCCATTTATGGTACATAGAGTTCAGACTAACTTCGGAGGAAATCAAATTAAAACTAGGGATTTTCGCGTCTAAGTACCTAGAAATTCAAATACCTCATCGCACTGAAATGTATGTATCTTTCTTTCAATTCATAACATTCTTATCGTCTTTTAAATATTTAAAATAATTTTTTTGATAATTAATTAATCTTACTCACCTGTTAAAGCGCAACCAGCTACGAGCAGAAGAATGCAAGAACACTTGTTCATAGTTCAGGTTCAATTAAGTCGTAGAAATACTACTTTGTAGTTATTCTTCCAACACTTTTATAGAACCACCTGTTGGTGACTTATGCGGAACTTGTATGAAGTTTGACGCTCTGTGACGCAGGTTATTTATAGGTTTGTAGCGGGAGATATTATCATGAAATGATGGTCAAATAAAACCGCTTCATCTTTTCGTTTTCCTAGTTTTGCCTTCAGATTTCTAAGTTTCCTAATTGTTAAATTCCTGAGTTTCCACATTCCCAAATTTTCATCAACGTGTGATGTCAAATTTCAAAATGTCTTAATTTTCTAATTTTTAAATTCCTAAATTCCTAGAATCGAATATCCCGAAACTTAAATTTCCAGAATCCACTATTTTCAAAACCTCAAGTTTCCAAAACCCCATATCCTCCCTAAAATCCACTACTTTCACATCCGACACTCTAATTTCCAAAACTAAACAATATTTTCACATTTCCCAATTCAAATTATCAACTTCACATCTTAATTCAAAACTTCTCTGAACTTCTCCTAAATTCACCAACATGCATTATCATCTTTCCTGTTTCACTGTTTCCCATTCACTGCGTAGAGTGTTAGCCTCGACAAAATACCTCCACATATCCGGACTTTTTATTGCTCTCAATGTTTTCATTGAAGTTTTTTTTTTTCGTCCTTCGCTTTTTGTGTAATATGAAAGCGTCTTTAAGTACATATGTAAATAGATAAGTATGACGTGTAGAATCAATGCTTGAGTCATAAATATTGATAAAAGAATTTCAGAATGTGTAATTCGATGGATTCACCTTGTATCATGAGTTTAGCAACTTGTTTCTATACAAAGTATTACCACTTTTTAAAGTATTAACAGATTTTTGACTTGCAGTCGTGGGACGAAAAAGATTTACAAGAGCTTCGAAGTATGGAGTACACTGATGGTAAAAGAAATAAAAAGAATCTTCTTGGTTTTAATGATGCTCAAGTAACCGAGTCCTGGATGCAACACAGAGTGCATCTAGAAAGCACCAGACTTGGTTTTATACACCGCTACAGATTTAACAAACCATCCAGTTTGTCTGAAGACAAACATCACAATTGCAAGAATTATGTCTATCTTAATACAATATATGAAAAATAACAATATTTTTGATTTGAGCATTAAACAATTTTTTTTCTACATTTTTGTAAACATATCTTATTCATTGATGTCGCTTATTAATAACAATAGAAACGAGATAACAATAATAAATATACAAAAACATTATAAAAGTTGTATTCGCGACACCGTTGCACAGATTTCCTTCACGATGAAGATTTAAATGGCGCTCCTGCGACTCCCAAGCCATAAGGCTCGTTTGCACCTGTGCGAAGGAAGTATACACCTGTCCTGAAAAAATAAAGCAATAATTTATAAATTTACTGTCGGTAATAACAGTCACAGAGTAAACAGAATGAACAGAACTGAGCGACGTTTATAGCGAAAGAGGGTGGACAAGAGCAAATTTGTAATTTGTCACTAAAAATACAAAATATGAGATCTATCGTTTCTGACGGATTTGATTTTACTTGTGTTGATGAAGAAAATCGTAAATTAATTATTAGCGAGAAATCTTTCGATTTTCGCTTACATGATTTTCTTCAGATAAATTGTTTCGCTTTCTTTATTTCTTATCGCACATTATGTAATTATTTACATAATAATTTTTATTAAGGTCCGACATTGCCGAATAGTATTGGATTATTAATTTGATATCAACGCTAAATTAATACTGATATATCATAATTATTACTGTTACAAGTATTAGAATTGTATGAAAATCACAGCGTTCAAATGTAACTAACACAAAAGCCTTCCGAATATTATCTCCAATCATTGTTAAACATATTTATTTAGTTGTGAAATAATTTAAATACGAATACTTTTCCTCTAAAATAATAGCAATCAGTGGCATAAAAAGTAAAAAAAATTACAAATGTTCCGAAGTGTCTGTAATCTGACTAAAATAAATTTTAATGAAATTGCATTTTTTCACTAAATAATTCTACCATTTTGTCCTTGTCGGCACTGAATTTATGTAAACATGAGAAAATGATACTAACTTTTGGGTGGAAGCATAATAGCCCATAACAGCCTTTCTATTTCCATCGCATACTCCACTGGTGTAGAGCACCTCGTTGTTGCATCTAACACCGACGAAAGCGTCTTTGTTCTTAAGCGATTCGATGAAGAACATCCAGGACCTGTGGTGGCTGCACAACGCTGTAATCATGACAATAAACAGTAAATAACTCGATAAACAGAATATTTATTAATAATAATAATATTCTTAATAGCTAAAATTGCGAACTTCATTTTCAACGAGAACCAAAGCTGAACCAACGAAATTTTCCAAAAATGGTAGCTGTAATTATAGTTTAGTGTAAAATTCTTCTGTTAACCTAAAATCTTATTAAATTAATACACGAATAACTTTTGTGAAAATAGCATCATTAGGTGAATATTGCTCATCTCTTATTTAAAAATAAATCAATATCTTCTTTCAGAAATAAATAAATAATACACACCTGTTTCACTTATCATTATATCAAGTTTACATCCTGGCTGCGGTCCATGACCCAAGTTTGGGTAAAAGTCAGCACTGCCAGTAGATAAAGCTAGTCCCAAAACACCGGCGTCTGTATGTATAATGTCCACAAATTGCGCATCGGAAGCACTCAAACGACGATACTCAAAGTAGAAAAGTGGTCCAGCGGGATCCAAACCTGCAAAAAATTGCAATCAATGCATAACTGACATACAAAGCTTCGTGTATCTGAATTTTAATCGAACACAGTGTCCGTAGCATTAAAATCGAGGAATGCTTCCAAAGTACCAGATGCGTTACACAGTGTAGGTTAGTAATTTACAAGATATGTAATTTTAAATTTTCGAGAAGTTTTGTTGTCATTTGAAATTGAAATTCTATGTTCATTTACATTGAGTATATATTACATTTTCAACTGGGAGTTGAACTGTTGGTTAAACGTTAGAAATGTACAGCAATGATCTTTGTGCGAGTTCAAATCTCCATTGACCATCTTCAAATTTCTTGTCTTTAAATTATTTTTCAGGCGTTCGATAAATTATTGGATTGGTCCATTAATTATTCAATCGTCCGGTTAAACTAATATTTGACATATTTAATAAGAAACATGCGTTCCAATGGAAAGACGGGTAATCAAATTATGAGTCTCCAATATCCCCCAAAGGTTAGCTCTGTTTTTCAAAAATTAATTCAATTATAGAAAATTGATGTGTCATCGTGTTACTAGTAAAATATCCCACATTCCTGTTTTTTTGTTAAATCTCTATTGTATTCAAGGAACGCACTAGTCCATATGACCTTCAACACTCTGCATATTAATCGCCCAAAGTCTCCACGAAGGACGCTTAGGCAATTAAATACTAATCGAGTAATTAATATTCAACTTATTGTAGAGTTATCAAATTGCTTAACAAAATGCTAAATAATTTGAAAATGTCGTTATCTACCTGTTATTCTAGGAATTTTGAATGGTAGATTGCGCCCAATGTTTCCAGCAAGCTGAGCACCTAATGAGTGACCAATAATATAGATATTTTCAGCTTTCAAACCAGCATCTACCATTTGCTTTATACTATTAGCTACCACCACACCAAGAGCTTGAGCTTGCGCCACAGACGTCGGATAAATCAACATCGCGATGCTTCTATAATCGAGCCCAATTATGTTGTTGGTTGTATAGTTTAAGAGAGCTGCAATGATTAAAATGATAATGTTAAATTCACGACAGTAGATAGGAGAAATCATTCAGCTTTATGTACAATCTTTTTTAATAGTAATTTGAGGGGTTGAAAATTTATTATATCGGGATTGAGGAAATTACAAATCTAGGTATTTTTGTCAATTTGGAATTTGAAGATGATTTTAGGATTTCGTGGATTTGGAGATGTAACTATTATGGGAATATTGAGAATTTAGGAATTTTGGTAACTTGAGCGTGTAGAAATTTTGAATTTGATAATTTAAGGATTTAAAAATTTCAAAATTTTCAATTTTTGGAACTTAAATATTTTACAATTTGTGGATTTATATATTAAAAATTTCCAAGTAAATGTTTATCAGCTTACCGTCCGTAATAGGAGTTACAGTATCTTTCTCTATGTATTCCATGTGGCCATGAATATAAAATACTGTGGTTGCAGTCTTATTTAAAAGGGGTACAAGTTCAGATGCTTTCGCTAAACTAACATCCACATTAGGGCCATTCCTAAAAAAAAGAGAACGATTAGGATACACGTTATCGATTTTAGATTATCTTCTATCTAATTATTACTTTAATTCCTAAAATTTTCGTCGTAACATTCTGTGTACAATTATACAACAAATTTAACATGATCTAAAAGATTGTCATCTGAAGTGATAATTTTATTTTTCATCAGATATGAAATTACGTATTCGTAAACGAATAAATTAAAATTACGGGCAGGTATCATGATTCAGAATCAATTTCAAATTTTTCTTATTATCATCTTTGCACCGTTTAATTGTTAAATTTCACCAATTTTTATCGAAAAAGACGTACTGTAAATATATTTATTTATTCATAGTCAGAGACTGATTTGAAAAATAATTTTTCTGAATTATAAATATTTTATTTTTATAATGGGACTCACGAGTGTATTAAAGTGTATAAAATAGAAATTATAATTCCATTATACAAAATAAATTACCTGTTGAATAAACGGAAGAAGGCTGAATCCACATTGTCGCTAAGGGATGCAGCATCTGCGATTCAGAAATAAAAAATATTAATAATTGCTTCAAAATAAACTTTAGTGGAGTAAAGAATAATTCTAAAATAATTGCAGATGAAGATATTAATTAGGTTATTAATAAATTAAAATTAGAAGGTACAGTGCCTTCCATTTATGGTCCATATTGTTCGGACTGACATTCGGGGGAAATCAAATTAAAACTAGTAATTTTTGCGTCCGAGTACCTAGAAATTTAAATACCTCATCGCACTGAAATGATCTATCCTTCTTTCTATTCATAACATTCTTACCATCTTTTAAATATTTCAAATAATTTTTTTGATAGTCACTTAGTATTACGAACACTCACCTGTCAGAGCGCAACCTGCAGCGAGCAGAAGAATGCAGGAAGCAAACTTGATCATGGTTGAGATCCAATTAAACCGTCAAAACACTATTTTGTAATTGTTCTTCCAACACTTTTATGAAACAACCTGTTGGTAATTTATGCAACACATTATTTATGGAGTTTCACGGTATCTGCTGCATGTTATTTACACGTTGTCGCATAGAACATTATCATGACATAAAAGACATATTACAAAGCCTATATCATGCAGGTAAACGGACTCTACTTAATTCTATTCACACATTTAGCTTTTATAGTTTTAGAACTTTGTTTGAAATAGCAATATAACGTATTCTGTATTACAGTTGCAAGAATTGTTTACATAGAAAATGTATTAATTTTTCCTTGAAAGAAGAATCTATTGATTATGCAATCAGTTGGACAGTGCTTCATTCTTAAAAGTGTGAATAGTAATGTTTGTAGTAAAGTGCATATCACAGTATCATAATTTATTATTACTGCAACTTAACATCGAACAAAATATTTTTAAATGTTTTAAATACTTAAATACTTTCAAAGGAAGTAGTTAAAAACATTTAAAAAGGTGAACACTATACAAATATTTCATTCAAGAATAAATATTTTATAATATATAATTTTTTTTTTAATGATTTAAGAATATATTTTGAAGACAAAAATTGTATTATATTTTTAAATTGTGAAGTTGTCAAATTGTCAAACTGTAATAATGTCAAATTATCAGATTTTCAAATTTTCAAATTTTCAAAATTTCAAATTTCAAATTTTCAAATAATTTTCAAATTCTCCAAATTTCAAATTTTCTAATTCTCAAAATTTCAAATTCTCATGTTTTCAAATTCTCAAATTCTCAAATTGTGATAGTGTTAAATTGTCAGATTTTCAAATTGTCAAATCATTAAGTTTCTACATCGTCCAGTCATAAAATTGTAAAATTACCAAATTATCAAATCATTAATTATTAATGAAATTAACTAATTTAATCTTTGATGAGAATTCTTTTAAAACTAAATATCAATAGTTTTAAAAAATTATCGGCATCTTGAAACAGATCACCCTAAGCATTACACAATTACATTACACATTACATTACCCAGTACACCTTCTGTCTTCTCTCTCCGAATGAGAAGATTTATAAAACTAAACTAACAATTCGTAAGCTCATCAATAAAATTATTACCCAAGCAACCTTCCTTCGCAATCGATTCAAAGTAGAAAGAACGTTAAAAACAAGGGATTATGTGCACCGCACGACGAAACGTAAATGTTGAATTAAGTATGAGTCTCCGTTATTTGTTCCATGATTTTTGATGAGTATTTTCATATCTCGAATGTGCGATAATAAACACTTGCAAAATATATAAATCATTTCAAAGAAATTAAAACGACTATCGATGTTCCCTTATTTTTTTTCAAGACGTACAATCATTCGAAAAATTTATGTCCCGTAAAAATACGAGAATATTCGTGGGAACTCGTTAATAATAAATGTGCGTGTTTCCGTGATATAAGCTGAGCAATAAATCAATTAAAATTATCGCCTGTCCGAATAAACGACTTCTCTCGCTTACCGAAAGGGCGGACTATAATTCCTTTTCCCTGAAACACGTACAAGAATTTTCCAATAATTTTACGCAACGAATTCCTACACCTTGTCTCGGTGGAAATTTGTGATCTTGTACGAGACTGAAGTATTTCGATTACGCTGTGCAAAGTGTTAGCATTATTTGTTAAGATGTTAGGAGAAAATTGAAATTTTAAATAAAAAATCAATTATGTTGGACAACATTGAAATTTTAAATAAAAATTATGTTCAAAGTGCAGTAGTCTCGATATAAGCGATAATCTACTCGATGCAAGCGAAACCGAAAGTTTCGCAATATGAAACGATACCAAAATATAAAACTTATCTTTCGCTTTTACATTACCAAACTTTTATCAACAAGTTTTTTACGTTCTGATTAAAATGAGACCAAACACGATATAATTTGAACTATGTTTACTGGTTTAATTGACGATAAGTTTTAACAGTGGATAAGGAGTGAAAAAACGCTGATTGAGGACTGCAAAGATCAAACCTGTATTCTTTAGAATACTAATATGTTAATAACTTTTTTATTTTGACTCCTTTTTTCGTAGAACTTTTTCCATTATATTCGTGATATTTTTCTGAATAAAATGATACCAAATACGACGTTAATCGGGATATATTTAATTGTAAAAGTCCGTTTAAAAATTTCAGACGTAAGAGTCTACGATTTCGACTGTTAGACGTATCGCGAAATTATCCGAGTAGCGCCGAAGAGTAACGAAGTCACCCGATGTGTCACTCGTTCGTTTACCGCGAATCTTACCGCAATAAAACGTCGATATAAAACGCTTCAAATTATAAATAAATATGTTTCGAATTACGTCATGTTTGGTATCATTTTAATCAGGAAAATGTCATAAATATGCAAAAGTTATATAAGAAAATAATTTTATGAAAAATAACAATGCAAATTACATAATGCAAAAATGATTCTTGCATTATGATTGATCCACCGATACGTTACCGTTTACATTTGATTCGGTCATTTTCTTTACTAGTTTTTCTACACTTGGCTGCCTTCCATCAATATGAGAACTAAATGATATAAGCGAAAATTCTAACTACCTAAAAAATTTGCTCTTAAATTTTTAATTTTCCAGATTCGAAATTTAGAAATTTAAATAACTTTTTCTTTAAATGCCTACATCACCAGCACACAAATTATTTATGAAATTAGATACTCAATACAGACGTGTAACTACTCCGATAATCCTACAACATTGTACATCATTACTTGGCCGCTTTATTCTTACTGGCGGTCATTAAATTTGCATTGAATGCGTTAACCACATTTTTCTTTGTAACCAGCTGTTATTCAACTCACTAATAAATTATATAACTTTCGACAGGAGCTCATTAATTTCTTTTTAACAATGGGGCGTCGATTTAACATTTCAAGTTCGGAGATTTACTTTTGCTTTAGTAGAAGCAATTTTTTAAATATGTACTAAAACAAATATATACTTTTAAATAAAGATTTTTAAATTTTTACAATGTTATTTTACATATTTTATATACTTAATACAGTCAAATAAATATAATGAAATTATGTTTTAGAATGAAAGCATATTCTCTAAAAAATGGGAAAAATTTCTTTATAATTACATAAACCACTTACAACCACTTCAAACTTTCTTTAAATAATTAACAAAAAATCTTTTAGTCTACGTATTTTACATTAAATACAAATTGACATTATTAGAATGTAAAAATTAAATGCAAAAAATATATAAAAATATATAGAATGTAAAATAAAGAAAATAAACAAAAATAATATTAAACCAAAATTGCAATAATGTTAATCTTTATTCATTTTAAACTATAAATACGTTTTTATATAAATAGACATAAAGACACCTGTTACAAGAAAACAAATTTTATTAATACAACTTAAAACCGGTTTTAAGATTTGTAACCGTCATCTGAAGATATCACAAGTCACGTGTATCCATTTTTGGCACCTTGAACATTGAATCCACTTCATTGCTTTCTCAACTATTCTGGTTTGTCTCTTTTGGTTTCAGTGTTTTTATTCTAACTTTCGTTCCTGTTGTGAGGTGTTGTTTAACCACAAAGTAGCATAAAATTAATATAAATGTACTTCATCTTAGGACGCCATTTTTTAAACTTTGTTAGCTAATATACTACAGTTAGTATACTTCAATGATTCCCAATAGATTCACACATTAAACTTCGATGTATTTCATTTATATTTATCGAATAGAAAAAGTTAAGAAATTTAAAACTCTAAAACGAAATTTACTTAAAATATTAGAACCTTAGTTACTCAGTTTATACTAATTAACACGTGTAATAAATTACACAAAAAATGATACTCCAAAACGAAATTTACCTCAAATATTAAAATCTTCTTTATTCATTTTCTTCACATTAACGCAATTTCGTAATAAATATAAAAGAGAATAAGTGCACCATTCTCCAAAATTGAAATAATTTGACCCACTCGGGAAAATGTGGAACGCAGTCAAATTATTCTACGTTTACGAGAAAAGTAAACTATCGGAAATACACGTAACTTGTGACATGTAATGCTGTAAAAAAAGACGCATAGGAAACGATATAAAACAGCATCGAACGTATAAAATTGTTTAATGTGTGATCGTGTATTGAAGGCAGAGAGATAAACAAGCGAAAGGTTTCAAAGTAATGTTCACAACGAGCTCGTAAAACCCTCGTAAAAGTGAATTCCGGTTAGAGTTAGATTATGGATCAGCTCTTACAGGTATCAGTACGGTCAGTTTGCTAGAAGAAGATATACGTTTATTGTATCTTCGCGTGTTATATTGCAGCGTGTACTCTCGAGTGAGCTGAGTAAGTAGTGAGCTTCCTTTGGAGAGGAAGAGATAATATGAGAACTATTGACAATTTTTTAAATTAAAATATTTGTTATATTCAAGTTAATAAATGTGCAAGTTTTTGAGTTCTTGAGTTTTTGATGTTTTAGGTTTGTGAGATATGTGTGTTTCGGGCACTGGATTCTTGGGGTTTGACGATTTTGAGTCTTTGGGTTTTTAGGTCTTTAAGAGTTTAGGATTTTATGTTTTTGGGTTTTTGTGTCTTTGGGATTTTGGGTGTTTGACATTTTAGGATTTTAGGACTTTGGAGCTTTTAGGTTATTGGGTTTTTGGGTTCTAAGTTTCTGGGTTTTTGGGTTATTGGGCTTTTGGCTTTCTAAGTTTTTGGGTTTTTGGGTTTTTGGGTTCTTGAGTTTCTGGGTTTCTGGGTATGTGAGTATCTGGGATTTGGGTTTTTGGGTTATTGGGTTTTTGGGTTAATGGGTTTTTGGGTTCTTGGGTTCTCAAGAGTTCGAGCTTTCGAAGTTTCAAGTATTCGAGTTTTCAACTTACTAAATTTTGAAGTCTTCAGATTTCCAAGTTTCCCAATTCTCAAATTCCTAAATTTTCTGATATTTAGATTCGTAGATTTTCCAATGTACATATTCCCTAGTTAAAACTCGGGTATTTGTTAAACGCACTACTTACACTTTCGACTGACTGCTGCGAACTAACTATAACTGCAAGAGATCCACATTGTACTTTCTTTTAATTCGCGGAAGAAAAGTCCTTTTACTTTTTACTTTACTCTGCATTTTACCAAATTAAGTAAAACCAGGAAGTTGACTAGATATCGTACAGGGTGGTCACAAATTCACGTAATTTAAAATTTTACTGTAGTTAGACCAAATTTTTAGATTTCTTTTTGGTTTTCAATTCTTTTGGTATGTTTGTTAAAATCTTTCTGGTTTTCTAAAATATTATTAAGAATATTTAAATAATTATGGAGACGTAAATATTGAGGATTAAACGTAAAAATTGTAAAATAACATATTTAAAATTACAGACTTGTACATTTTTAAAAATGAAAAAATCCTTCATTTTTATAGATCGGAATTATCTAATTTTTCGCACTTTTCCACGACACAACAGATTCAACAAATCATTTCCTTCTGTCAAGACAATAATCACAATTGCAAGAATTATGTACATGTATCGTAATATAATGCACGAAAAATAACAACATTTTCTTGAGCGTTGAATAATTTATTATCTACATTTTTGTAAATACATTTTATTCACTGGTGTCATAAGTTGACAATAACACAAGCGTAATAGCAATAATACATACATAGTAATAATATACAGTTGTATTCACGACATGGAACCCGTTCCATAGATTTCTTCGCGATTAAGAAGATTTGTATGGCGCTCCAGCTTCTCCTAAACCATAAGGCTCGCTTGCACCTGTGCGAAGGTAGTATACACCTTTCCTGAAAAGATAAAGCGATAATTTATTAATTTACTGTCGATAATAACAGTCACAGAATAAACAGAATTAACAACATTGAGGGACGTTTAAAGCGAAAGTGGGTGGACAAGAGCAAATTTGTAATTTGTCACTAAAAATACAAAATATGAGATCTATCGTTTCTGACGGATTTGATTTTACTTGTGTTGACGAAGAAAATTGCAAATTAATTATTAGCGAGAAATATTTCGATTTTCGATTACATGATTTTCTTCAGATAAATTGTTTCACTTTCTTCATTTTTTATCGCACATTATGTAATTATTTTCATAATAATTTTTATTAAGGTCCGAAATTGCCGAATAGTATTCGATTATTAATTTGATATCAACGTTAAATTACTACGGATATATCATAATTATTACTGCTACAAGTATTAGAATTGTATGAAAATCACAGCGTTCAAATGTAACTAACACAAAAACCTTCCGAATATTATCTCCAATCATTGTTAAACATAATTATTTAATTGTGTAATAATTTAAATAGGAGTACTTTTCCGCTAAAATAATAACAGACAGTAACGTAAAAAGTAAAGAAAATTACAAACGTTACGAAGTATCTGTAATCTGACTAAAGTAAATTTTAATGAAATTGCATTTTTTCACTAAATAATTTTACTATTTTGTCATTGTCTACACAGCACTGAATTAATGTAAACATGAGAAAATACTAACGTATCGGGGGAAGCATAGTAACCCATAACAGCCCTTTCATTCTTATCACACGCTCCTATGCGGTAGAGCAATTCGTTGCTACATTTAACGCCTATGAAAGCATCTTTGTCCTTAAGTGAGTCAATAAAAAACTTCCAGGATCTGTGGTGGCTGCACAACGCTGTAATCATGACAATAAACAATAAATAAATCAAAAAACAGAATATTTCTTAATAAAAATAATATTCTTAATGGCTACAATTGCAAACTTCATTTTCAACGAGAACCTAAGCTGTACCAATGAAATTTTCCAAAAATGGTAACCATAATTATAGTTTAGTGTAAAATTGTTCTTAAACGTAGAGAATTTATAAAATTCTTACACGAATAATAATTTTTGTGAGAATAGCATCATTAAGACAATTTCGCTCATCGCTTATGTTTTTAAAAATAAATAAAAAATACACACCTGTATTATCTACTTTTAGTTCAAGTTTACATCCCGGCTGTACTCCATGACCAAAGTTTGGATAAAAGTCCACAGTGCCAGTAGGTTGAGCTTCTCCCAAAACACCGCCGTCTGTATGTATAATGTCCACAAATTTGGCATCGGAAGCACTCAAATGACGATTCAAAAAGTAATAAGCGGGTCCAGCGGGATCCAAACCTGCAAAAAATTGCAATCAATGCATAACTGACATACAAAGCTTCGTGTATCTGAATTTTAATCAAACATAGTGTCCATAGCATCAAAATCGAGGAATGCTTCCAAAGTACAAGATGCGTTACAAAGTGTAGGTTAGTAATTTACAAGATATGTAATTTTAAATTTTCGAGAAGTTTCGTTGTCATTTGAAATTGAAATTCTATGTTCATTTACATTAAGTATATATTACATTTTCAACGGGAGTTGGACTGTTGGTTAAACGTTAGAAATGTACAGCAATGATCTTTGTGCGAGTTCAAATCTCCATTGACCATCTTCAAATTTCTTGTCGTTAAATTATTTTTCAGTCGTTCGATAAATTATTGGATTAGTCCATTAATTATTCAATCGTCCGGTTAAACTAACATTTGACACGTTTAATAAGAAACATGGGTTCCAATGGAAAGTCGGGTAATCAAATTATGAATACTCCAATATCCCCCAAAGGTTACCTCTGTTTTTCAAAAATTAATTCAATTACAGAAAATTAATATGTCATTGTGTTACTAGTAAAATATCCCACATTCCTGTTTTTTTTTCATCTCCATTGTATTCAAAGAAAGCATTAGTCCATATGACCTTCAACACTCTGCATATTCATCGCCCAAAGTCTCCACGAAGGACGCTTAGGCAATTAAATACTAATCGACTAATTAATATTCAATTTATTGTAAAGTTTCAAAATTACTTAACAAAGTGCTAAATAACTTGAAAGTATCGTTATCTACCTGTTATTCTAGGAATTTTGAATGATAGACTGCGACCAATACATCCAGAAAGCTGAGCACCTAACGAGTGACCAATAATATAGATGCTATCAGCATCTACACCAGCATCTACTAATTGCTCTACACTTTTAGCTACCGCCGCACAAAGCGCTTTCACTTCTGCCACAGAGCTTGTATAAAACAATGCAGCTATTTCTTTATAATCGAGCCCAATTATATTGTCCGATGTGTAGTTTAAGAGAGCTGGAACGATTAAAATGACAACGTTAAATGTACAACAGTAGGTATTAGGAAAAATCACTCATCTTTATGATTTTGCAAATTTTGTATTTCGGAGGTATTTTGAAATTTGTGGTTTTGGTATTATGAGAATTCCGAGGATTTGGAGATTTGGAGATTGGGGAGGTTTTGAAGAGTTTGAGATATGAGTATTGCAGTGATTTAGATCATTTTGCTAAAGTTGGAAATGTGGGAATATTGAAATTTAGGAATTCAGGAAGTTAGAAACTTAATTTATTATTGTTTTACTGTTGTTTTAAATAAATAGTAGTGTACATAGCAAAAAAACGTGTCCAAAATCAAATTGAAACATCAAATATGCATACACAGATATATTTAGCAAAGACGTCATTTAAGGTGCAAAATACCGCGAAATTTGAAAAATGGTTACAAGCTTACCGTCCATAATAGGAGTTACTTTGTTCAAATTTTCACTGTGGCCATGAATATAAAATGTTACCTTTTCATTCTGATCTAAATGAGGTACAATTTGAGATAGATTGTCTAAACTAACATCCAAATTAGGGCCACTCCTAGAAAAAAAAGAGAACGATTAGGGTACGCGCTATCGATTTTACATTATTTTCTATCTGATTCTTACTTAAATTCCTAAAATTTTCGTCGTAACATTCTGTGTACAATTCTACAACAAAAACGTAGTGTAAAATCAGTAAATTATCATCTGAAGGAAAAATTTTATTTTTTGTCAGATATGCAATTTCATATTCGTATTAAATTACGGGCAGGTATCATGAATCAGAATCAATTTCAAATTTTTCTTATTATCGTCACGATTTACACCGTTTAATTGTTAAATTTCACCAACTTTTATCGAAAAAGATGTACTGTATATAGTTATTTATTCGTAGTCAGTGACTGATTTGAAAAATAATTTTTCTGGATTATAAATATTTTATTTTTATAATATGGCTCACGAGTGTATTATAAAATAGAAATTATAATTCCATTATAGAAAACAAATTACCTGTTGTAAAAACGTAAGAAGGCTGAGTCCACATTTTCACTAACAGATGCAGCATCTGCGATTCAGAAATAAAAAATATTAATATTTGCTTCAAAATAAACTTTAACGGAGTAAAGAATAATTCTAAAATAATTGCAGACGAAGATATTAATTAGATTATTAATAAATCAAAATTAGAAGGTACCGCCTTCCATTTATGGTACATATTGTTCGGACTGACATTCGGGGGAAATCAGTTTAAAACTAGTGATTTTTGCGTCCAAGTACCTAGAAATTTAAATACCTCATCGCACTGAAATCTATCTATCCTTCTTTTTATTCATAACATTCTTATCATCTTTTAAATACTTAAAATAATTTTTTTGATAGTCACTTAATGTTACGAGCACTCACCTGTCAAAGCGCAACCTGCACTGAGCAGAAGAATGCACGATACAAACTTGATCATGGTTGAGGTTCAATTATACCGTGAAAAGACTACTATGTAGTTGTTCCTCCAACACTTTTATAGAACAACCTGTTCGTAATTTATGCGTCACTTTATTTATGAAGTTTGACGTTATCTGCTACGTGTTATTTACACGTTGTGGCATGGGACATTATCATGACATAAAAGACATATTACAAAGCCAATATCATGCAGGTTAACACACTCTACTTAATTCTATTCAGACATGTTGTTTTCGTAAAGTTTTAGAACTCTGTTCGAAATAACAATATTACGTATTCTTTGTTTCACTTGGAACAATTTCTTCCATGCAAAATGTATTACTTTACCTTGAACGGAGCATATATTGAGCATGCGATCAATTTAGGTGTGAATAGTAAAATTACTGTTGTCTAAATCTTAATTTAGATTTTTAGATTTGAGAATTTCTAGATTTGTGGATTTCTAGATTTCTGGATTTTTAGATTTCCAAATTTCTAGATATTTAGGTGTGAATAGTAAAATTACTGTTGTCTAAATCTTAATTTAGATTTTTAGATTTGAGAATTTCTAGATTTGTGGATTTCTAGATTTCTAAATTTCTAGATTTCCAAATTTCTAGATTTCCAAATTTCTAGACTTCTAAATTTCTAGATTTCCAAATTTCTAGATTTCCAGATTTCTAGATTTCCAGATTTCTAGATTTCCAGATTTCTAGATTTCCAGATTTCTAGATTTCCAGATTTCTAGATTTCCAGATTTCTAGATTTCCAGATTTCTAGATTTCCAGATTTCTAGATTTCCAGATTTCTAGAAGATTCCTAGATTCCTAGATTCCACTCGATTCCTAGATTCCTAGATTCCTAGATTCCTCGATTCCTAGATTCCTAGATTCCTAGATTCCTCGATTCCTAGATTCCTAGATTCCTAGATTCCTCGATTCCTAGATTCCTAGATTCCTAGATTCCTAGATTCCTAGATTCCTAGATTCCTAGATTTCTAGATTTCTAGATTTGTGAATTTCTGAATTTCTGAATTCCCAAATCTCTAAAACTCACTATTTTCAAATCTCCATAATCCAATATTTCCACATTCCCAATTTTAAACATCAAACTCCGTAACATTCCAAATGCATAAACGTACACTATCACACACTATTTCCAATGCCTTAACATTATCACTAAACATCACTAACTGAAAGCTCTAAAATGCTCAAAACTCATCATGTCACCATCACAAATCACCACTAAAGTACCATGAAATTTATGTACTTGAAAATGATATCCCATGTCATGCCACAAAAAGAAATAAATTACATTTTTTTATAACTTACCTTGCAACTTTCTGTATGATTTACGCTCGATTTCCGGTGTAGTACTAGTTACACTGATGCCGTCTTCTTATACACCCCATTCACATGCACGTGTTGAGCTACCGCTCATATTTATACTAATCTACCTGTGACTATCACAGAAGCAAGGTTATCTTAAAAGCTAATACATATCATTGATATGCTAACCATTATTTGTTGTGATCATATTCGTATACCAGTAATTTGTATACCAGTCATAATTATTTGTATACCAGTAATTATTATTGAAACAGGAAATACATGGTTTTGTACTTTGATCTTCACTGACTAAATATAGGGTAGATGTCCAAAATATTATAATTAAACAGAGAATCCTATACTTTAGAACTTTTAACATTGCAAAGGAACAGATATTACTATCGCAATATGATATATTATTCTTGCGATACAATATAAGCGACTTATTTTGGAAGAGGCCTAAAATACTTGAGTCGAATTTCAGAATTTGTTTCACTGAAATTCGCTGGTATTAATGTATGCTATTATTAAAATAATAGGTATTATTTTAACAGTATTTTAATACCTATTTTAAAAATAATGGTGATTATTTTAACAATAGTTTAATAATAGCAATTATTAAGGAAATGTGCCTTTTTATCGTGTGGACTTAAACCACTTTTGAAATTAAAGTCATCAAAGTTGAAACAACACAAGTTCGTTCGATATGAAATGCTTCGAAGTGCATTTAATTTATTTTATATTTCAAAAGCAATATTTAATTTATTTTATATTTCAAAAGCAGTATTTAATTTATTTTATATTTCATAGCACCGCTTGAAAAACACAATTTATGCAATTATGGAAATCTGTCAACTATAAATTAAATAACAATTTATTGCTGTTCATTTTATGTATGCAAGATTCGAATGCCTTTGGACACTTGAAAATCCACAGTTTCTGACATCCTGACAATCCAGATTGGATTTAGGCAACTTTCAAAGCCAACTATCAACGTAACTGCGAAAATTCTTATGTCTTATCACACACTTTGAATATATTTTACTGGAAAATTTTGTTGTGTCTGGCATCAAACAGTACACGTTATTATAGTTATCAACAAATAACTGTCTTAACTGTTTCAGCGAAAGTAGTTATGTGAGCACGACTGCTTTAGACAATTTTGCAAATAAACAAGTCATTTTGTTACGATAACACTTGTAAGTAAACATAAATGTCACTGTATCGCGCAAGAAAATGTAATTATTCATTTTATTAAAATTATAAAATATTACATGGTCGTATACTTTCGTGCCTTATGAGAAACCATTCCTTCCAACACTCATCTTACAATTTATTTGGGATTGATATCCCATCACTATTTGATATAAAAACAAGTTTCACATTCGAGATCCTAAGAAAAAAATTAAGTTGTCAGATTTGAATATTTCGTCAGCAACGCAAAGTCATAACGGGACCTCTCCATGGTCCGTGCTAGGCTACAAAGAGGGCCTAGCTTTTGACCTCTTAGGCATGATGCGTCACTATAGTGATGAATACCATCTTTTGATATGATGCTCCACTATGGATGCAATATCTACTTTACATTTAGTACTTGACATTTCACAATAATACACGTAATAAACCTCTTGACAATATCGTCGCACATTACAGTTCAAATGTGGCAAAGCTTGTCATTTGCATAAAGATCGAATTTTGAGTTTGATAACAATTGTAACTTGTACAATTGAAGATCGCTGAATCTAAGATACACTTTTATTTATTTCAACACTACAGCAGTAATTACCTCTTTGATTGAACTTGACGTTGCTTCTCTGTACGACAGAATTCGACGCGAATTACGCGAACAGTACTGTGTACGTCAATGGTGTTCTCTTAACAAGTAGTTTGGAATCAATTTTTTGATGACTAAATTATAATTTTTCCGAAAAATATATTTTACATATATATTAACTTTGATAATTTACTTTTTCGAAAATTCACAAGATATGTAATTTCTAAATGTTTCCAATATCGTATATGAGTGCAAAGATGTGCTTCCATGATACCTAAACTTGATGCTACCTTTTATTTACATGTAATGTACTTTTGAAGGATTTGTTAGTATTCTTATAAAACGTGGCGAAGTCAAAAAGCTGAGAATAAAAACATATGAAAACGATCGTTCAATTAAAACGATGGCGAGTGAACCACTATGTAGTCTACATCTGCGAGATCATAGTGGATCATCATACAAAGAGATGGTATCCACTACTATAGTGGCGCACCGTGCCTAAGAGGTCAAAAGCTAAGCCCTTTTTGTAGTCTAGCGCGGACCATGGAGAGGTTCAGTTTCATAGAAGCTTTGCATCGCTAACGAGACATTCAAGTCTGAGACTTAATTTCTTTGGATCTCGAATGTGAAACTTGTTTTTATGTCAAACATGTCTTAAGTTTGATTTTATACATTATTTTATGTCAACTATATGATGGGCTATCAATCGCAAATTTTAAGATGAGGGTTGGAAGGAATGGCTTGTCATAAGCCACGAAAGTACACGACCATTCTTCAAGTGTCCTTACCAAGAAATGAAACATATCATTTTTTTCTGGACCTTTACGCCAGACTCTAATGTGATCCTTGTTTTCGTATTTCGCGAATATTTCATAGGTAATTGAATTGGTTCACAGATTTCGTGAGTGCTTTCAGGGTGCTTTATAAATCACCACCCCCATAAATAGCAAATCTGAACAACGAATCGTAGATGATGACTTTTGCCATCAATCTTTGTAAATAAAATTGTATATTTTTCTTGCCCATTGTATGCTCTGTTTCTCAGGCTTCTTTGTTTTACACTACTAATGTATTTTCGAAAATCTCCGAAATTTTGAGACAATTTAGGACAATGTTCTTGTATTAATAAAAAATTTGCTCTTTTTAATTGAGAAAATTGATAGAATTGATATAATTGATAAAATTGACAAGATTGACAAAATTGACATGATTGACAAGATTGGGAAGATTGATAAGATTGATAAGGTTGAGAAAATTGAGAAAATGGAGAAAGCTGAGAAAATTGAGAAAATTGAGAAAATGGAGAAAAATGAGAATATTGAGAACCCGGAAAAAATTGATAAAAGTTATAAAACTGAGAAAAATAAGAAAATTAAGAAAACTAAGAAATTCGGGAAGATCGAGAAAATTGAGCAAATTAAGAAAATTTAAGAAAACAAAATTAAGAAACAAATTAAGAAAAGTTAAGCAAATTTAGAGAATTGAAGAATTGAAGAATTGAAGAATCGAAAAATTGAAAAATCGAAAAATCGAAAAATTGAAAAATCGAAAAATTGAAAAATTGAAAAATTGAAAAATTGAATAATTGAAAAATCAAAAAATTGAAAAATTGAAAAATCGAAAAATTGAAAAAATGAGACATTGAGAAGTGGAAGAGTAAAAATTTTACCTTTTTCATCAATTATCTACCCTTCATTTATTCTTTCTGCTTCAAGTGAAAGTCTTACAATTAGTATTAAGTCATTGAATTCACCATGACCTTACTTATCATGCGATAATAAAAATATATTATTCCGTTCAAAGAAACTTTAATGACCTTGAAATCTCCAGAAAAATAACCTTGAAAAAATGTCCTAATCACCACATGTCCGTTTGACCAAAATAAGCAAGCTATCCAAGATACTCAAGTTACCTGGAACACCCTGTACATCGCATCTATTAAATGCTATTCCAAATGCTGTCAGCTGCATTTTTAAAATGCAGTTACCTGAATTTCTCTGCGGTTATCCTTCTGCGCGGTAAATTTCCTCGTAGAAACCATTTTATTCGTAATACGCGATGCATATTATGTTTGCCAACCATCTTGTATTTGCTCGTCGCACAGTGAATAGAGCTCGCACTAAGCAGACCGCAAAATATTAATCGTAATAACCAACGTGTTTTCCTTTACGTAAAAAGAAATATAGAGTTTCCCGTTTAAAGTATGCATTCACCGTATTTTGGTCAGTCACGTTTATCTCATATTTTTCCTCCTTCAATGGTTATTATTAGCAAGAAACAAAGGTATGAACATACCGAGATAAAAATTATAACAGTTCATCTGCGCAATTGAAATTTCAGAATATTTTGAATTGGGTTATTTTTTGGAATTTCCTTTAAATTATTTTAATATCAGAATCTTCTAAATTTGGTTCAATTTCAGAATTTTCTTAACTCGTTCAAGTTTTTGTTGAGTTTCAAGTTAACTGATTTGAGTTTCAGAATTTTTTAATTTCATGTTGTAGAATTTTTCAAATTTGTTTTAGAATTTTTTGATTTATTAAATTTTTTCCCATTTTAGAATTTTTTAAATTCATATTAAGTTTAATAGTTACAGTTTCAAATTGTTTTAATTGATTTGAATTTCAAAATTAATAATAAATTTTATGTTGTAGAATTTTTCAAATTTGTTTCAGAATTTTTTAATTTATTAAATTTTTTCCATTTTAGAAATTCTTAAATTCATATTAAGTTTAATAGTTAAAGTTTCAAATTGATTTAATTGATTTGAGTTTCAGAATTTTCTAATTTCATATTGTAGAATTTTTCAAATTTGTTTTAGAATTTTTTGATTTATCAAATTTTTCCATTTTAGAATTTCTTAAATTCATATTAATAAATTCACATAAAATTAAAAAATTTCATTTTAACACAGAACTTTAATAACGAAACTTTTATGAATTTCAAAAGTTCATAATTTTAATATTATTATTCAGATGTTAATGCATTTTTAATCGACTTCGAATAATTTGCTTTGTTATGGAATACAGACTGTCAATCCTTTGACCCTACCTGAATGATTATTTGAATTATTCATTGACTTTAAATGAAGAATTATCACTTCTCATTTAACATTCGACTTGTAATTACTTGTGTAATAAAAATATACGTAACATAAAATGACATGTTATCTTATAAATAATTATTCGATTGCTTTTAATTAATATCGATAAAAATCAATAAAAGACAATTAAAATCAGTGAATGCGTTTAATAAAAATTAATGGAAAATAATTAAAACAAATAAATGCATTTATTAAAAAACAATGAAAGACAATAAGTGTATTTATTAAAAATTAATAAAAGACAATAAATGCATTTATTGAAAATTAATAAAAAGGAATAAAAATTATTAAATGTATTTAGTAAGTATCAATAAACTTGTAATAAAAATCAATAAATAAAATGATTCACCAACTTGAAAAATTTTCAAAAACCGAAATCCTAAAATTTTCAAATCAGCAAATTTGCACACAAAGTTCAAAATATTCTTATTGTAGCCTATAAACATTTCAACACTCTTGACACAACAAATAATATAATATTTTAATAAACTAGTAATAATGTACTAGTTAAGAACAACCTAAACTAGTAATTTTATTCAGCATATCCTGTTTGTTTCAGATGGTGAAAATGATAGTAACTGTTGTAATAGTATTCACTATCTGTTGGTTACCATACAACATATTGATGGTAAGTGATTTCATACACCAAATATTTTACTTTCAATAACAAAAAAAACCACAGCAAGAATTTTTTGGTCGATACACAATTTCACGGTATTAATCACGCGCTTCATTAAATACCTGCTGATTTTAATTCATGCAACTTGCAATATATTGTGCTTAATTAAAAACAGTGAGCTGCAATCGAATCGTTTCATAATAAATTGAGAGTGAAGAAATCAATACAGAATTCAACGTAAATACAATTATCGCATGTTCATTATTTTAATAAATTATTTTAACAATTTCACCAAAAATTTGAGTTAGAATCAGAAAGAATTGTATTTTTTATTTATATCTATTATTTTATAGTTTTATATTTATAATTTTGTATTTATAATTAATCAACAGGAATATTTGTGTCTTTAATTAATATTTCAATTTCAAAAATATTATGCATTTAATTAATATTGTACTTTCAAAAGTATCGTATTATGAATTAATATTAATGGTTTTAAAAGGCGTGATCTTTTAAATTTATTACTGTTAGTTAATGAAGTTTTCCTTTCAATACTTTCAATGTTCCCTTTATTATAATGTGAAAACATATAATCTCCCTTTTTATCCCGCGTTTTTCGCTGCTTATGAAGGAGAAAAGAATGAAGAGGGAAACTCGCTATGAATCACGTACAGTAATTAATAGCTGAAAGAGACAATTACGCGTTGATGTCTTTAAAGGATAAACGATGTTCTCGGATCCACGTCATAAATCTCTATAATGGCGATGAGAACAACAATGAAATTGTATTTCAGAAGATTTTATTACAAATTTCTATTTAACAATTGAATACTAACACTAGTATATTCTATTTTGTGTCGTTTATAATATCTATCTATGCAATTTCTATACAATTTTATCTACATAAAAACATATAGAATAATTATACAGAATTATATGTGCACATTAACATGTAGTATAATTACTTAAAATTATATCTATATAAAAACATATAGAATAATTATATACAATTATGTGTACACAGCAACATATAGTATAATTGCATACAATTATATCTATATAAAAATATAATAGAACAATTATATCTACATAAAAAACATATAGAATAATTACATACAATTATAACTACATAAAAACATATAAAATAATTATACACAACTATATCTACATAAAAATATAATAAAACAATTACATACAATTATATGTATGCAGCAACATATAGTATAATTACATAAAATTATATCTATATAAAAATATAATAGAATAATCACATAAAATTATAACTACATAAAAACATATAAAATAATTATACACAATTATATCTATATAAAAATATAATAAAACAATTACATACAATTATATGTATGCAGCAACATATAGTATAATTACATACAAATATATCTATATAAAAATATAATTGAATAGTTACATACAATTATAACTACATAAAAACATATAAAATAATTGTATACAATTATATCGACATACAAACATAAACTAACTACATTTTATATTTCTAAAATATAAATATCCGAAGAAATTAAAAAAAATTCACATATATATAAAGATGCGTGTACTATTATTCTGTGCATTTGTCTAATTATATATTTGAAAATATAGGTTAACTATAACAGGATCAAACGTAACCCTATCTCAAGATTTGAAATTGCTTTAAAGTATCTTCTACTTTTCCTCGGATATTTAATTGAACCGTATCGTCGATAATCAGAGATTACAATTAACGTTAATGAAGGATTCAATTGCCCTTGGTTTCAGTTAATAATAGATAACAACGAAGCTTTAAGCAATTGGTCTGGACTTCCTTTGATATGGATGGCCCTTCATTGGCTGGCTATGTCACACTCCTGTTACAATCCAGTGATTTATTGCTGGATGAACGCCAGATTTCGTACTGGCTTTATAACCGCCATCGGCCGTTTACCTGGAATGCATCGAATACTTCGAACAGATAGAGCATATAATAATAATTACAATGCTAGCACTATTGATGTTCCCCTAACAGGTAATCTTTCGTCTTACATAATAATTATTGTTATAACACATATTCTGCTTTATTTGATTTCTCATTTATATTTAACTCTAATGCTAGAATTTAAAGTGAACTGCATTTTGAATGCTCACCTTAGTTCCACTTATACATTACACTCATATTCTGTAACACAATTAAATTTAGTTTGAGAAATGCACACACGAATTAAACACATTTTCATGTACCAAACAATGATTATAGATATGCAATGTATCAAGCAAAATGTTACAATTACCTGCTAAGAGATGTCGCCTTTACATGAAAATACAGAACTATACTTTGGACTAATTTAGTTAGGAATATTTTCATAGTTGACTTACTTGTTTAATAAATTATTTTTGTTTATATTTCAGATCCCCATGGTTCAGGTCATTCTCTACTGCGTCGTATGAATACGTGTATGACTTACATCAGTGTTCGTCGTAAAACAAACGGAAGTCATACTGCGCCGGCAAGAAGTGCCAGTTTCCGGGATGATTCCTTCCGACCGTCCACTCAGCCCTTGCAACGACAGTTCACCTGTCTCGAGTCCCATTCGGAAGAACAACTGTGAAGAACCATTCACGACTATTCGAAACTTGATTCGAATATTCTATATTTTTTTTATCTGTACATATAATAAACGTTTATTTCAAAGATTTCATTCGTTCTTTTATAAATAAGAACTTATTATAACCTTCATGGAAACGGAATAATATTTTACTTTCAAGTTTATTCAAGTTTATTTCCCATTCGCTAAGGGAAATACCGTAACGATACAATATGTAAACAAGATATGAAATATAGTAATTTAATATGGGGTGATGAGTTTAACCTTTTGCGGGCGTATGCTCAGCTACCACAACAAAGAACCACTGATCTCACATTATACTAACATTATTATCGTACGCATATTATTTGACAATTAACTCAGCGTGACACATAAATATAATATAACTGCAGTAGAGTTAACAAGACATGTTTTATTCTCAAGGATACGTGGATTTGTGGTCCGATACAGGTAAATAGTACAAAACGCAATATCGACAGCTGTGTCTGTTTTACCCATTTATCTTCTTCCAATAAGGTTTACAGTTCTGTCTTCTTTCTCCGCAAGATGTTATATAAAATATTAAGTTGGTTATAAGACAATCTTAGCGAAACTTTAGAAAATTGTTATGCTCCGATATTGACTAAATTTTGAAAATAAACTCCTTTTTGCAAAAGAAGATGTAAGAATGGTGTTTGACTCGAAAGAAAATTTATTGCCATTCTTGCGTCACTTCCTATATCATCGACCATATTCAATATAGTATGCGAACTCTTCTAAACACAAAACTCGTATCTTTGGACTCAAAGAATATATTGCAAACAGCATAAAATCAATATTAATAAATATATAATAAATATGTAGCATATTAGTCAATAAAATCGATATTAATTGAATTTTTACGAAAATAGAAAAAGCAGCGCCATCTCTGCGGCGAACAGGGTGAACTACACTCTTTTAAAACTGTAATTTGATTAGTTATCATTTGCTACCGCAAGATGGCGGTACAAAAGACAGAAACCCTTAGGGTAATTAAAATTTACCTAAGAATGGTGATAATAGTTTGGTGAAGTCAAAACAATTTGAAGTTATTTAGTCTTGCATCCCAATGTAATATAATTCATATTATTGTTAATTAAACTAATAAAATCAACTATACCAATTGAATTGAACCGAAATATAGAGAATGCGTCTCTATATTTAAAATTAGTTAATAGATTAAAACTTCAAAAATAACTGATTTATTGATATTGATTTTGAAATGCGTGTTGCTGAATTTAAATTTGATTAAGGAATGAATAGCGAACGTTTTTCTTTTTAAAATAAACAATTGAACAATAAAATTTAATGTCAAATATAAATAGAAATCTTCTTTATCGATGGCTTGAAAATGAAATTCTTCTTGATCGACGATGATTCTGATGATCACCACAGAAACGACACACATGGCGCCATCTAATGACAGCATATAAGAACTAATGAAAGTGCAGTTTCAAAACCGTGTAATTCACCCTGTTCGTCGGAAAGATGGCGCCACATGTTCAATTTTAAAAATAATTTAATTGACATTAATTTTATTTATTTAATTTATTATAATATGCATTAAATTACATCGGACTGCAAGACTAACTAACTTCAGAATATTTTCACTTTACCAAACCATTATTAATTTGACTTATCTTCGAAAAACTGTCAGACTCTGTCAGACTGTCAACAATCAAATTCAAATAAGCAATCATTTGTTCTCAACTTGTTGAATGTACTAAAAAATTTCTTGAAATCAAACATTTATGAACAAAGGTTCAGACCTAATATTAAAAAAGGTGTATATTTCGCGAGATACTTTAAGTTCTAAAGACAAGAAAATTTAAACAATGTTTCTAGAAAAGTAATAATAGCCTAAACTTTCTGATCACTGTGTATGCACGCTTTCGAGATATGATGTCACTTAGTTTGAAAGGCGGAGCCATGAGTACCCACAATTCTGTGCAACGTGAACGAGCATGCGCAGATCATAAGGAAAAAGTCGTAATGCCTTCAAATGATGAAAACAATTTCATTCGCGGGATTCTCAGATCTCAAATGTATGAAGAAGAAAACGGTTTTTCGAGTCTTCTTATATCTACAGTTCTTGATTTGGTCAGCCTGGAGAATTTAAAATACAATACAATATTTTATTCAAACACAAAATTTGAAATACAAAATTCGATTTGAAATCAGCTTAAAGGGCATCAAATTCAAAAATGGGAAGACGAATTGAAACTATTCTAAAATCATGGTGTGTGCAGGACAGAGAAGTAACTTTCAACAATAAATATATGTACGCATCAAGGAGAATGTGCTGCAATTGCTCGTTATTCCGAATGAATGCAGAATACAAATCACAATGGCAAAATTTAGGTAAGTCTAATTTTTGGACATTGTTAAAATAGAAATTTAATTAGCGTATATTTATGTGTACTGCTAACAGGTGCACACCATCATGTGAAACAGGACCATGTATCAAATCTGATCCGGTGTGTGCGTTGCAACCAAAGAATGAGTAACATTAAGCCAGCGGTCGCTTGTGTGGATTGTATAAAGGCCATCCAACAACACAGTGACGAGGAACTTGGAAGTCTAGATGAAGGCGTACTTATGCCTTCAGAATATTATGAAATTATAGAACTCGAAACAAGAGACAGAAATTCTAGAAATTAATTTATGTAAAATATATAAAAGAACTATTATGTAGGACTAGTAGAGAGAAGGCGACGCACGCTCTGTTGTATGTGTACGCAGTTTTGGCGGTATCGTGATTTGCGTTGGATACCGCAAGATGGCTGAGAATATTTATTTTCTCTAGAAGCTGCAAAAATCTACTGAAGTTAGCTGCATATTATTTCTCGTTGAAACAAATATAATAACAAAACAGTAATTTATAATTGATAATATAAATATGAGTGACGTTTAACGTACGTATTTATAAATAACTGTAGAAATCCAAGTTTTGTAAATATTATAAAATAATTTTCAATGTAAGATGTACAGTAAATGTCTATATTATGTAAATCAACATTACACTTAATTTTGCATAATGATAAAAACACAATTTTATAAAACAAAGTATAATTGTAAAAAGTTGGTAAAATATAAAATATAAATATTATAGATAAATTTATATACAAATCAATATTCTCAAATACTAATAAAATGAAACATTTAGAAAATTATTCCGGATTTTATTTTCAGAGTATGCTAAATAAATTTCATTGCTTTATAATAATACCAGTTTGAAACATAACAATGAGCGGTGGTGTGGTACCCAGTAAATCGACAGTATATATTTCAAATTTACCTTTTTCGTTAACAAACAATGACCTGCATCAACTGTTACAAAGTTATGGAAAAATAGTAAAGTAAGTTATAAACTTTGTAGTTTTTGCATTGTTTATAAATTTATGTACATTATCATATTATATGTACTTTTTTACAAATATTAATGTATCTGAAAGTAATAAAAGCTTTAAATTAATATAAGTCTACAAATATAACTTCTTCAATTATCCTTAAACAACAGTAACAATTTAAAATATTAGAGTTCTATAAAGATACTTATTGTTTAAATTAGATCTTATGAACCTAAATATTTTTAAGCCAAATAGGGTATTTCTTTGTCCACAGAGTAACGATAATGAAAAATAAAATTACAAGACGAAGTCGAGGTGTTGCTTTTGTCTTATTTCTGACTCCAGAAGATGCTGTTTCTTGTGCTAAAAGTTTGAATAACACAGAAGTAAGTTGCAGTGTCTCTTATATTATAATAATTTTAAATGTTTCTAATAAATTATGATTTAATAGATAGGTGGTCGTACAATTAAAAGTTCTATAGCAGTAGATAATGGACGTAGTACCGAATTTATACGTCGGAGGGATTATCCAGATAAATCTCAATGTTTTGAATGTGGAGAAGAAGGTCACTTGTCATATAATTGCAGTAGTAATACATTAGGCCCCAGAAATCCACCATTAAAAAAGGCCAGAATAAGAAAAAAGCATAAGTCTAGTAGTAGTTGTCAGAACAGTGATTTTAACAAAAATAGTGAAGATGAATTAGGTGATGATAATTGGGAAGAAGAAGTAGAGACATTAAGTGCTGCAATTGCACTGGAGGTACTGCAATTTTTTACATTGCTATAATAGCAATAATTATTACATAGAAATTTCATAAATATTTCACATTTTGTATTTCAGCAAAGACAGAAGGAATATGAAAATAGTCAGCGTTCAGCAGGTAAAGGATGTGAAGAAGAAAATCGACCAACTCAAAAATCAGGCAAAAGATATAAGAAAAATCAATACTTCAGTGATGAAGAAGACTTTAGTGAATGAACTACTGTCTAGAAAAATTAATATGACATGACATGTTAAGTACAATATTGTACAATAAGTACTCCTGAATCAATACTAAAAGACAGTTGTATTATAATAAGATTTCAAATGTATTTATTATTAATTTTGTAATATATTATTTGTATATAAATTCTTAATTATATAGCGTTATTACAATATACATACCAGAATCTTATTATAGTATTCTCATGTGATTAGAGCGCTTTTGAGTTTATTGTTCAACAGATTATCATCAGATAGTAACTTAACCTCTCGGTAGTGCTCACAAGTAATTGAAATAAATCCTTTACAAACATATATTTTAATTTGAAATTAAATACAAATTATATTTTATGTAGTTAAAAATTGTTTTCATACGGAAAAATGTTTGAACAATCATTGTGACAGGAAGAAAAGTTTATTACTTTCATAATGAGGTTATATAACCTCAAAATATAAAAGAACATAAATGTAAATAATTGTAAATGAACAATGTCAGGTTTAAATTTACTGTGTACGTATACCTCTGATTCTGAAGATGACGAATTTAATAATGATAGCCACAAATTTAACGAAGTTTCTAAACGGTATCTATCTTAATTTCAATAATAAGATTTCATAAATTTTAGGTATTAATATCACTTGTTAATAATGTTCAAATTATATTTATATCGCATAAAAAGGTGCACTGTATTTTTTTACATAAATATTTCTACATATAATTTGTTTATTACTTTGAAATTGTATAATTTATTCCTTAAATATTTAACCATAATTGTTTTTCATAAACTGTGCATTTTACTAAATTTAAACAAGTGTAAAAATTAGATTTTTATATTTAAATTAAATTAAACTTTTATATTGTAGTCTACCTTTGCCTGGATGTATAGCATCGTGGAAAGGTGTTCCACATCATGAAGAAGTTGATGATGATCCACTTCAACATGAGGGACGAACAAGAAGCTTTAAACATGAACGTGGTAATTGGGCTACATTAGCCTACATTAACTGTAAGTAAAGTTAAGCCATACATTATTATTTGAACTGTACAAATAAAAAGTCTTTAAAATTTCAGATGAACCCAGTGATACTATGATATCATGGATGTTTTCAATATTGGAAGAAATACCAGTTAAGAGTAACATATTTTCAGAACAGTTTCATATTAGTGTAACAAGAACCTTAATTTTGAAGTTTCATTGGATTGAATCCTTCGTAGAGGAAGTCAAAAAACTATGTGAACAGACACATCAGTTTAATCTGGAACTTCTGAATATACGAGCATACACAAATGAAGACACGACACGCACGTTTCTTGGAATAGAATGTTTTGAGTCAAAAGGAATACTCAATAATTTTGTGAACAATCTTAATAATATTCTTGCTGAATATGAATTACCACCCTTTTATGAAGTAAGTAATATTAAATTTATACTTGTATAAAATATTTATTGAGTATATTAACTTGTTTGCCTAGGACTCATCTTATCATGTTAGTTTCCTATGGTGCCTCGGTAATGAAGTAGCAAATTTGAATAATCATTTATACAACTTAACCACAAAACTAAATCAATTTTTGGCTGATCATGAAGAAGAAAGGAACATAAATGTTACCACGATACACTTGAAAATCGGAAACAAATTATACGCATTCAAGCTAAGTTGATAAATATTTTTCTTATTACAGGGTTAAGCATGAAACGTAACTCTAAAAGTAGCAGAAATAATTAAGATGATTACGTTTCATGGTTCACTCATCATGTGTAAAAAATTTAAGTAAGAATCTTAAGTAACTTACATATATTATTTATTAATAATAAAAGGTACATTCCAAATAATGAATACACCTTCTTTTAAATACTTTTTCATACTATTCATTTTTAAAATGATGAACTGATAAAATTTGAAAATTGGAAATGTCGGGAAGAGAAAAAAATTTAAAATCGTTTTTTCTGTTTCACACTTCATTATTCACTGTATATTTACAGTTTTCTTATAACTTATAAATACGGTTTTCGATTCAACAAATAACAATATTACAAAAGTCATAAACTTATCTAATTAAATAATCGATTTTAACGGGAATGCAGGGGTAAATAAGTAGGATTATATAATAACAACATATATTTTGTTATTATTATACAAAATCGAGTATCATATATAAATGTATATAAAATATTCAAAGTATCCACGATCAACATGGCATATGGAAATTATGTTAACACTCTTCAGACTTCTGACTCATATAAAAACATAGTATCTTGGTAAACAAATTATTTACAATTGTTTGCAGTTTTTATACAGATATTTTTTATGTATTGTGCAATTACTTTACAAAAGATAGTGTAACTTATTATATATATGTACAACATGATATAATCATCTGATTCGCGAGTACCAATCAACTCATAAAATATATTAAGTACACAACAAGGAATGTCTTAAAAGTCTTGAAATTGTATATGTTCATGGTATAATAGCATATACAATATCCCGCGTCTACACTTTAGTGTAGGTAATATTTATTGCACCTGACTTTAGAAAATTATTAGCATTTATTACGATTACATGTAATATATTTAGTATCATGTTCGGATATATTCGATGCTTTCTTATTACGATACGAATGCTTTGAAGTCATATATTAAAATCACTTTGAAAGTCTTTTCTTTCAAACAACCATCTTATTAAAGCAAGTCTTACCTTGACATTACTTCAAGATCTATCTAAAAGTCAAATTTATGTAGCAGGTAAGTGTTCGACGGTAAACACATTCTCTTCGCTATGAAATTCCATTTGAACCACTCGTTGATTTCTCTGGTAAACATTTCATAATCGTTGGTTCTATTAACTTCCACACTTCAGCAAGCTGTAATGTATTTAATATGAAAGCTGTAAACTTAATTATCACTTGCTTATATCTCTACAATTACTAAAAATTGTCAATGCTTAAATTCCTACATGTCACAAGTGTTTATAGGATGCAAGATTTGCTGAATGCTCAACACTTACCAAAATCTCATTTGTAGGTAGCATAAAAAATTTAATACAACTATGAGAATATTTTAAATACAATATCACATGTTAAGGAACCTCACCTCAGAATGTCCCCGAATCTGCACATTTACAAGACTCTGTAAAACCGTAGCGAGTATTTCTAAATGTGCATGAACGAGTTGTGTCTCCATGTGTAAACAATGTAATGAGAAGCAATTTCGCAGTTCAACATTGGCGATCACCGATTCTTGAGCGACCATCTTATTTTCCAGGTACTCAACCGTATCACTCTGTGTAAAATAAAATAACTCAACATTGTTTATAATAATTTAATATTTTGATAATTTTACCTAAAGTCTAAAATATTCATTAATTGTGTCAATTAATAGGAATACGTAGCTTCAGCTACTTATGCATATAGGACTGTTTTCACTTAGACAAGGTTATGTAAGACAATACAAACTTGAAATTATATATTACATTTTTCCTCTATTATTAACATGAAAGACCTTGGGTAATTTCAGAATAATCACGTAATGACTAGCGCGGACGATAACATTGAATTGAGTTAAATCACCGGATAAATATATCTTTCTTGAAGCTTTAAATCATCGTATGTTGCTTGAATATCTCAAACAGGAATTACTTACATCAGTGCCTCGAATCACTCCTTGCATTTGCCGCTTCTTTAAGGATAACATAGTAGACAATGCACGCTGATGATCAGCACTAACTCCGCGCTCGTGCCTCTCACATAATATTCTATGCGCTACTAAGACATCCAGAAGAAGATTCAGCCTTTCACATACCATAGTTTCTTCTCTCACTGCTTGCTGAAGAGCTCTCGTGGAAAGTAGATTAAATTCTCTGAAATTATAAATAACTTATGCTTTCAAGATTACAGATATTACAGTTCCTATGCATTAATAAAATTATAAATTTTGAACTACTTTTACTTTTTACAAATTGTACTGGAAATTAATTCTTTAAGGACACAAAATTGAATAACTGAAATAATAGTTCAATATGTGCGATTCTTTGATTAAGTAATGTAATCACGATACTTACTTTGAAATAATGTGGAAACCCTTCTTCATTTCTTGCCAAACGGTAGAACCACCACTGGCCCAAGTGGTGGTACCATGTGGTTCCGAGGCTAAATTGCTTAACTGCGTGCCTAATTCCGCCATGTCTACTGCGTAGCTGTGCGATCTAATTGCTAGGCAATCAGCAATGTTTTTCAGCCGAGAGATCCCAAGAAGTATCACTCTGATTTGGTCCCGGCTGTTCGCGAATTCGGTTAGGGTTTCCGGCGGCACTAATTCCTTCGCTCTCGAGGATAACTCCGAGGTCGCAAATTCGTCCGGTATTCGCCTGAATACCTCGCGAATTTTGTGTTGGGTTTCTTCGCCGGTGTACGTGAAGAAGAACTGTACGATATGGTCTTTGCTCACTACAGGATGGCGAGCGATTACGGTGAGAAATCTTAAAAGGGATCTTCTCCTTTCTTCCAGAAATTGAGAATCCGCTGCAATTAAAACGCCACAATTTATTCATACTACGCTAAACATAGTTATTGATTAAAGTTAGAAGGTTCATGAATAATTACCTCCAACAATTTTCTTCGGTGGTAACTTCGGTATCAACCTGTATGGAAATCTTGCCAGAAGAAGTTCGTGTAACGATACGAAATCATTGTAACGTCTATAAACGATGGAATTAAATCTCTGAAAATAAAATCTATTTTTAACATGAGATTCCAAGTATAATTCTTGCACATATTTTAAGTAAGAAACAAACTTACTCCTAATTGTTTTTTGGACATTTAGAATCAACAAATTGATTATTATATTTTACTCAAATCTTATACCAGAATACAATTCAAAAAGCTGAGAGTCGCAGATATATATTTTGTTTCAGATCTAATTTAGAAGTGTTACCTTGCTTGTTACTTGGTATTCCACGTGTTTTAGAAAAATTCCTTTCTTCTCAGGCACCAAATTAACTTCTATTGTGTCCAAATTACATATATCTGAATAAGTGAGATTCAGTTTAGCAGGATTGCTACTTTTGTGGAGCCTTTGAGCCAAAAGTGTAACTTCAGATAGATCACCCAGTACAGGAACTGGTAATTCTGTAAAGCAAAGAAAAAAATTAGAAATTTGAAGATTAAAATATGCTGAAAATTACTACATAATATTTGTATTAATTTAGATAGTTAATAATTTAACAATACTTTATATATTAACAGTGTTAATTATTAAACACGTATGATCATTTTCATAAATATCAAGCTTTAAATTTATTTTAAATAAGTATTACTTTGCAACAGTTTTATGCCATCAAAATTGCATTAAACTTAATAAAATATTTCTATTTTCAATAATATTTGTATACGTAATCTCATAATACTTTTATCATGAGCATACTAATCTTCACTTTAATTATAGTTTTTCCTTGTTTATATTTGTATCAATTGTACTATCATCCTATATTTATCAGTTTTTATTTTTTGTTCATTTTAGAAGTTGTTTTCAACAAGAATTCATAACAAATCGGCAGTATATTTTAAATTTGAACTACTTCAAATTTATTGCAAGAATATGTCCATCAACTTCATGTTTGTATTTTCCCGCTCGCTTCGGTTAAAATACAAATGTTAACTAGAACAAAATTATCCATAAAATAGTACAACTATATCGCGTGCAGTTAATCCGCAATCACGAACAATTGCTTTTGTTATTGTTGTTCCTTGGAAGTGAAAGATAATCATGATTGTGCCTGCAACCTCGATTCTGGAAAAAACTTTCCTAACCTACGGTATTTTGCTTGTGATAATAACAGAGTTGTAACTCATTCTTACTGTTTCTTTTCGTGAGAATCCATTTTGCATTAATTCACGTAAATGTGATTCACGAATGTTTCAAACAAAGCTTCTTTATAATTGCATAGCGTTGAAGCGTTCTTTCGGAAAATTGTGTATAATAGATACAATTATGAATGACACAAATTAGTAAAATTATTGAATTACAACTGCTTTAATAAAGTTTATATTGTAAGTAACAGAATTTTCAAGTATTCTCAAATTTAAAATATGTTCCAAATATCCTAAATCTACAGCAAACTATAAATGACATGAGGTAAATATTGAAGTCGCACATTTCAAAGTGACATAACCTATTACGAAAATTTGGCGCCAAATTTGACATATCGAATGTCAAACTGTTTTCTGTCACAATTGCATACATAACGACTTAACAAAATTACAAAATTATAAATAAAATTGTAGTATACATATTGAAAACCTTGTTTCAACAAAAGAAAGAAGAGCAACAGTTTTTCAAGAACTTTTTAGCAATAGTGTACACGCTACATTCTAGAGTGACGGTGAGAAAGATTACCGGAAGAACGGTGCATTTCCCGTGGACCTCCTTCAACCGTGATAAAAGTCTAACCTTTTAACGATAAGAAAAACAAGAACCGATTGTGTTGGTCAGTGACACCACTAGAAACCGGGTCTTTTAGCACAAATGTTAGCTGCGACACGTTTAAACGTTGGTAATTTCAGTATGATAACATTTCAATAGATAAACTGTTGAACATGTAAGCTCCATTATCTATTAAGTACCTGTTGCAAATATCCTTACTTTCTACTATAATCTAAGTACATAAATTATGTACGCATTGTATTATTTTCTAGATAGGTTTAAATTGGAAGCATTTACTGATGAATATATATATTGAATTCATTTAAAAATATTAACATTTTTTTTATTTATATAAACTAGACATTAACAAGTTGATTAATATTTAATTTCTAAATATACATTTATAATTATACTTTTATATTAAAGCTGATATAAATGGTACTAAATTAATTTATACTTTTGACAAATACAGGATGTTCCAAAAAAAATGTACTCACACTTTAACTGGTTGTTATATATATATATATTTAACCATATACTTTATCTATATATTAATATAGATCTATATACTTTATCTTTATATATATACTGTATCTATACATACTATTTATATTAAAAATTATTTACCATTTATTTAACACATATTTAACATTGCTTAGATATTTATAGACATACTTACAATTCTCATAGAACAAATTAACAGAAGATAATGCGATATTGACTAAATTAGTCTGTTCTCAAGTTATTTATGTCTGTTCAGAAAGATTTGAATACATTTTTTGGAACACCCTATATAATCCAGCTTTGATTACGTCACGCACTCTGTGCAATCGAGAATATTTATACAATTGAACAAACTGTCGCTGAAAACGATTAAAAACATGCCAACCTTGAGATTCAGAGTTCTCCAAAAGTTTGTCACTCGGGTGTTTGCCTTGCTGAGCAAAAGCGACTAGGGCAAGACCCTTGTACAGTCCACTTCTGGTTAGGTAACCCATCTTGCTGTCTACCAGCTCCCATATCTATAAATTAAAAAAGTTATTCTTATTTATTTATTCAAATATATGGCGCGAAACTTTCCATGTGAACAAAAGTGATTAAATATCTGAGCAGGGGTTCTCAACTTTTGAAACAAGGATGCACTCTTGAAAAGGGTTTCAACTTTTCGTCTGCCATTTTGTTGAAATATTTTAACCACATTTGTGAATACACAAAATATTGTCCTACTCTGTTTAAAAATTCTATTTTAAATATTTGAATTGTTTTTAAATATTACTGTTGCTATTTAAATTTATACAAGTAAATTCTCTATATATTATTTATTTTTTTTACATCCGTTGCACGATTTTTTCCTCTTCGATAAGTTTTCAAGTTCATTGAATCGTTCAGAAGAAAACAAATGATAATAAATAGTGATTTAATATCTCTTTTCTGACAGCTTCAGTTTATCCCCTTCCAAGGTGATTCATACTTTTTTGTTTAACGTTCCAGTTTTATGTATTCATTTTCTCTTCTTGAACGATCACTGATCTTCGCGCTTGAGTAATTTATTTATCGGGTCATGTCCAATGACACGATTCAAAGAATGAAAATTTATGTTCTGTTACTTTGTTGTGTTTATTAACCGTGAATATCGTTGAAGTTAAAAATTTTAATTGTTCTCACATTTTTATTTTAAAATATAATTTATTAAATTAATTTTTAAGTTCTTAAATTTCCCAATTTTCTATTTTTGAAAATTGAGATTTACAGACTTTCAAATTCACAAATTGTTAAATTGTCATTTTATCAGAGTTACTTTTATTTTAAAAATATTATTTAAATATTTGATATTAATATAAAAATTTAATATTATTTTAAATATTATTTAAAAATTATTAAATTATTAAATTATCAATTTATCAAATGTACAAATATAGAAAAACCAAAAGTTTCAAGAAAACAAATTTCATCTAAATAAATTTTAAAAATATTAATATACGCATAACACCTAAAATATTACATGAAGGACTATTAAAGAATATAAAGAAATGTTAGTATTGTTAGAGACCTCTGAAGGTCAAGTAATATTTCAAAATCTCCTAACACCCATAAAAATATCAACGCTAAATGTCGAACTTGCCAATCTAATAACTTACAGTTATTCTGGTAACATTTTCCAGGTGTCTTTTCCACAAGATTTTCTAGCTACATAATTTAAAGTTTCGATGCAGGTAACGTATTCTCCGTTGAGTTTGCCAGATCGTTGAAAGACAGAGAAGCAGTGGGAATGGAAGAAGGAGAAACAGAATGACGGAGCAAGGTATAAAAATTCTCGGAATGTAGTTACTTTCATTTATGGCCTAATCCTTTGGATTCGTTCACAGTGTTAACCGAGGTTGCACCGTTAGTCGAGTGTGTCGTGCGGATTGCGTCGCATTAAGCTTGTTTTCTCATTAAATTTTTTCATTTCCGTGTAAATACTCTGCCTTAATTAGATTATTGCAATTAAATAAAATGCACTGTAAATACACTGACTTCAATTACTGTTGATTGTTGTAATTAAATAAAATACACATTTCCATCTTACTTGAAAAATTTTAGAAATATAATCAACAAAATATGACATAAATGTACTTGACATATATATGACATAAATGTAAATTTGTACTTAGGTGGGCAGTGAATCACAGTGTTTGATTTTCACTTGTAAATTCATGTTTATGAGATTTGAGAATTAATTTTATTTACGGCATGGAAATACAGAAAATTGTTAGCGGTATAAATGAGGATTTGAAAATAATCACTTGGTTTTCGTAAATGTCGAATAATGGCGACAGTACTATTGCAACTAACAAAAAATACTAAAGCATCTCAGCGTTTTCTTATTCCGAGTGTTTGCGTTTAATATGTAAAGGTTGGTAATTACTGTAGCGCTCCTAGCGAACAAATAAAGGACTTATGTCTCCGTGTTACCGCCAAAACGTGTTGTGTTTGCACCTTCCCCCGTAATAACGGAAGTTATAATAAAATTTAATCCAAGAGATTGCGGATTTTTCATAAAAATCTTATTCATAAACTTATTCATAAGTACAAAGATGTTTATCTTTGAGAAATTTAAAATAAGTTATATAATAAGCAGTTCAATTCATTTCTGTAGTGCACTTCTTCAGGCAGAAGAAATTGCTTGTATACAGGATAAATGCAAGAGCAGAAGAAAAGAAGAAATAATTGATTTATCAGGTAACCAATATATTTCACATAAACATCCATTATCTGTAATAATTAATCGTTAACTGACGAATTAGCGGTTCAAAATGTGAAGCAATGAAACCGCAATCTTTTCGTATAAAAGTTTAATGTACCATTTAACAACAGATCGACGTTCGTTCCAATATTGCAATGTGTTATTATGATAATTTCGATGTAAAATAACGCGATAAACACCGGTGCAATTTTGTGTGATGAAAGGCACGTCATGCAAGAAAAAAACATAATTGCGCAAAAGACGCGCGGGAAAATTGTGAAACAGGTTTACAATTCTTCTCTTTGTCAATTCCTAACCTAAATTGAGCAGTATTGAATTACATATTATTCATTAATGTACAATATTATGTGTCGACAAAACACCATATTTGAAAATTTAAGGTTTTACGTGTAATATTTTAAATGAGATAGGGAGAGATTATTAATTTAATTCCCAATTTATAAAAGTCAATGTTTAACTAAAAAAGATTTACTATTAAAACCAAAGATGTTCATGTAAATGTACTTCTGTCAAATTCAACTACTATTTATTCAGTTAATTTATTCTGACCTTGGCTTATCAATACTTAAAACCACCTGTAAGTTCAATATTTGCAATTATTTTTAAAACAAACTGAATCAATAATGTATGAAATTATTAACACAATATTTCCTCGGAGAAATGAAACCAAATGTTTGCAAAATAGGCACTTCGTAAATAATTCATCGTTCGCAGTCACACTTTATTTTCATTGCGATAAAAACGTTCAGGGTTCTTGAAAGTTTCCATAAGGAACTACTTGCAAATGAGGTTATTGTTTTTAGTCACAATCTATATTTTTTGCGTTTTTTTATATTTTTGTATTAAAAAAACTAGTGTTAGACAACCGTTCAAATAAAAATAAAATAAAAAGAACATCGTGGTCTCATAAGTTGACAGACGAATCAATTAGATCTACGCTGCATCCAACTGTCAACTTGCTCGCAGTGAGCGTACAAGAAAACAAAGAGAAACTAGTCGAAAAAGCACATAAAAGGAATAAAAAGAGAGATCGTGCGAACCGCAGCAATGAAAAACAAAAGAATGACCAAAAGAAGAAAAACAAATGGACGCAAACATGATCGCAAATTCGAACGAGCAAAAAAAAGTGCATAAAAGTGCAGTGTTCCGTAAGCGTTCTCACTGTTCGAAAGCAATGGCTCCTTGTTTCCTCATCGGCTTCACGAGTACATATTATTAAACCTTAATCGTTGATCAAGTTCAGTGAGAGAACATACGGTAAAAATGTGTGCGTTGCTTGTTGGTGATCGTGTGAACACTCGGAACATAAACAATCATCGAAAGCTGAGAAGGCCACACCTTCACAATTTCAATAAATCACACTAAACCGTTGGCGCAACTAGGGTTTTTATTTGAAAAGGTCAAGCTTAGATTGGGTTTCAATCTTGCTTCACGGGGAGAGTCATTTGAGCGTTTTATGTAATTTATTTTTGAACCATTTATTGCGTAACAAAATGTTTTGTGGTGGTTTAAGTGATTTTTTTGTGAAATAGTGTACTAATAATAATTTTGTCATAAACTAGTGTATTAATAATAATTTTCTTATGAAGAAATGTAGTAATAATAATTTTAATAACATAATAATAATATGTGTATTAATTGTAATTTTTTGTGAATTATTTTGTAAATAAAAAATTAGCAATAATTAGTAATAATAATTTCAATTAAATTACTAAGCTAATAAGAATTTTTTAATAAATTTTGTAATTACAATTTAGAATATTAATAATTTATTGTATTTATAATAAATTAACAAAGCTAATAACTTTCTTATGCCCTAGTGTATATATTTCTAATTAGCCTCTGTTAGCTAATAATAACTTTCCCATAAATTACCGTATTAAAAATAATTTTCTGATGAATTAATATACCAATATCTTTCTCATCAATTATGCCAATGTTATACTCTTCAATATACTAATAACAATTTTCTCACAAACTAGTCTGCTAATAACTATAAATTACTGCGCCAATAATTTTCTCATAACCGATCGTGCAAATAATTTCCTTATAACGTCTCTCACGAATAAGTATCTCAATATGTTTTACTGCGTTTTTAAATGAAAACGAAGATAAGTGCAGAGAAGCATCGGTAAGCAGGAAGAGGAAAGACAAGCACGCTATGTATAAAGCGCGAAACAACTGGAATGTCATTAAACAAAATTAGTCTCGTCCGCGACGGAAGAAAACCAGAGAGAAGGGAGATCGGTTGATACATCCATCATGGTTTTATCTCACGTGCATAATCCCTGCGTGTCGATCGTAGCATGGTACGCTCGTAAGAACCCTACTCGTTCAATGATTCTTCGTAAATGTTAGCTTGTCGCATATGAAATAACCGATTACAAAACATCGAAAGTCCGATACGATCTGACGTAAAATCACCGCGGAATTGCCTCTATGTCGATCTAAAAACATTTAACCTACCAGCGTACAAATACGATAAAAATTAATTTTTTTCCTCGATAAAAATCAACGTAGATTTTAAAAATACCTCAACAAATTTTCTAACTTAAAATTGTCTTATTGTTTAAAAATGTTTTAATTTTGTAAATTAAAATGGATTTATAAAATGGTCATTTGACTAGTTTGGTAATTTTTAAAGTTCGAAAATGGCAGACGTTTCGTTGACGTTTTCAACATGGACACATTGTCTCTGTTACCAAGTCTTGTATAATTATTATGTAATGTGAATCACAATAAGACTATTATCTAATAATGAGGAAGTTTGAATTGAAGATTGTGGTGAAATAATTGTTTTGTTACTTTTTGCAAACTTTAACCTAAAAATTAATTTAGGATAAGTGAAATAATAATTTTATATTCTTTTTTTATTGTTACATTAAAGTGAGTGTCATATATTATTAATGGTGATTTCAGAAGAAGTAAAATTGACATACAGTAAGCATCAAATGGAATTAAATAATGTTAGTATTTATTTCAAGCTTTGTATAAGTTATACTCTCTTTTTGTTACTAATACAAGTATTTTATTACTGGAATAATAAAAAATATTTTAAGAAAACTAGTTTATGTTAATCTATGATGCATTGAAATGAATGTCATATTTGTTATTAATGGTCATTTAAGAAGTAAAATTGACATATAATAATCATCAAATGGAATTAAATAATGTTAGTGCACTTAATTCAAGTTGTGTATAAGTTATAGTCTTTTTATTACTAATACAAGTATTTTATTACTGGAATAATAAAAAATATTTTAAGAAAACTAGTTTATGTTAATCTAATCATCCTAATTACACTAAATAAGTAAATTATAATTAATACATGAAGGATTATGAATTATAAGTAGAAGATGAATTTAATAAACATTTTATGTATAAGTATAATTTTTGTGTGATTGTAAAAGTTTGAATAATTTATTTTCTTTTAAAGCATGTAAATTATTTTAGATCATAAGTTTTTTTAGTAAATATTTTATTTGACAAAGGACTGTTTTATAATAGTAGTGTACTTTATTTTTCTAAACATAACATGTAAATCTTGATATGGTTTAATTTGACTCAAGGATTTTTGTCAAATTAAAAGCACGTCAACACAGTTGCATAACTTATAATGACAGTAAGAGTGAATAGTATAAGCACTATGTAATTTATAGATTGAGAAATCTACTGATTAGGAAACTTCGTAAATTGAATTTAGAGATTTGGTGATTTGGAAATTGAGATATTTATTAGTTTAGATACATAGAAATGTTAAATTGTAATTTCTTTAATTATAAACTTACAACTTCCAAAATTTCAATACTTTCAAATCCTAAATTTTCAGGTTCAGAAATTTTCAAGTTTTCTGATTTGGGAATTTAGAAATTTTTGTATTGTTATATTTAGAGATTTGAGTTTCAAAATTACAAATTTTCAGGTTTAAAAATTTAGAAACTTTAAAGATTCAAAAAGTAGTAACAATCAAATTTATTAGATTTTTAAATTTTCAACAATTTGAACTGAAAAATCACAAAGTTTCTAAATTTTTAACAAATGAAACTCAAATTTTCAGTCACTTAAATTAAAAAATGATGAAATTAAAAATTTTCAGACAAAACAGTTTCCACTAGTATCCATAAATGCCTATTCTACATCCCTGCATTGCTCTAAAGGACATTAAATGATGTAAAGAAAAGATTAAACCGATGAAAAGCATTTTGCATTATTATACGCAATGCGTATCATTCAGGATCAGCCTATTTATAGTGACCTGCGATGATTAGTGATCAAGCAGCGACCACGTAACGTTATTTTGATTGTGCCATTAGTCAATGAACGAGACGCGACGTTCAATCCCTGTTACATGTCATATGATACTGTATACTGTTGTTTTTATTATCGTCACTGATTTTGCGCGCCAAAATACAAAATTAAAATGCATAACGATCTGATTGTATATTCATAGTTTAACCTTTAGAAGATGTGTCGTTCAGTTATTTAAATTTAACCATAAATTATACTTTCAAATTTTTTTGTTTAATAATTTAAATGTTTAATTTTAAATTCTCAATTTTAAAAAAAGTAATATATTTTTAAATTGGTAACTTTATACCTTTTTTTTTGAATAATTCATAAAATAATCTTTCTATATAAAATTTTAATAATTAACATAACAATTTTGAATCAATCTGACAAACTAAGTAATATTTAATAAATTAATTAATATTTAAATAAATTGAAAAAATACGACTTCATTAAAATTTGTAAAAATAGCAATAAGAACATTTTATGAATTTTATCAATTAAAAAAGATAAAAGTGCCAGTATATATTTTGGAAAAATAATTCTGAATGCTTAGATAAAACTGAGCGTCAACAGTATAGCGTTAGAAGTATGGTTAGCCATATTTGTTTTAATCGATACTACGCCAGTTTCGTACTGCGTCGAATTTCATTAAGAAATAATCAAAGATCAATTGATGATTGACAGGCTTAAATAGTAAAACATGAAAATTAAAATGATAATTTATAAATATGGAGATATTCATAGAGTATGTTTATGGTTGTATTACACATAATTGCCCCTACTACGTATCTTCCACTATTATAAAGGGGCGTCCGTACAGACTATCGTTAGCGGGCGTGTAAATGATAAAATAACGATGATACCGCCATTCCGGACTAAGGACAATACAATGGTTGCGAAAAGTGAAGCTATTCATCGAATAAGAAATATGTAATTATTTACGATAACAAGATGTTTGCGTGAATGCTAATTTAATGTCGTTTTTATATCCCTGAATGAATACATTGCAACTGAAGTTTATTTATAATGTGAAACGATATTTAAATGAATATGTATATATTTTATTATGGAATTTTATTTATTATAATTTACATTATGATATATAGTAGGTATGTAAAAATTTTTTAATAATAGATAAGGCTTTTTAAATAATAAATATACCAAGATGTTTTAAATTAGTATTTAATAAATGAAATTAATTTAAGTATCGAAAATACATAATTAGATATTTTTAATTTGGGGATTTTTTCAATTTTTCAATTGGTGTTTATTATTTTTGGATTTATATATTTTCAAAGTGACATTTTTGAAATTTAAAAATTTGATTATTTTTAAACTGACATTTTTGAAATTTAGAAATTCGCATATTTCCAAATTGATATTTTTGAAATTTAGAAATTTATGTCTTTCAAACTTTCGAAATATTCAAATTGACATTTTTGAAATTTAGTAATTTGTATATTTTTGAACTGATATTTTTGAAATTAGTAATTTGTATATTTTTGAACTGACATTTTTGAAATTAGTAATTTGTATATTTTTGAAACAGACATTTTTTAAATACAGAAATTTACATATTTTCAAATTGACATTTTTGAAATTTAGATTTTCATACAGTTTCAAATCAATTTTGTAAAGTTTAAATTTTGAAATTTCCAAATTTACTTACCTAGAAACTTCACATTTATGAATATAGAAATCAAAAACGTTAAGAATTTAGAAATTTCAGTTTTTTAAATCTATAAATTCAGGAATTGCAATTTTTCAGATGTACAAATTTCAGATTTATAATTTTATGTATTACAGTTTTAAAAGTATATAAATTTCAAACAGAAATGTTCAGATGAAGAAATTTTCAATTTGAAAAATTTTCAAAAGAAGAAATTTCAAACGCAGAAATTTTCAAATGAAGAAATTTCAATTTCAAAAATTTTCAAAAGAAATTTCAAACAGAAATTTTCAAATGAAGAAATTTCAATTTCAAAAATTTTTAAATGAACAAATTCCAATTTCAAAAATTTTCAACTGGAGAAATATCAAACAGAAATTTTGAAATTAAGAAATTTCAATTTCAAAAATTTCCAATCTCAAAGCTTCCAAATATTCGCTAACCGGACTTTAACAATCCCTTATATTACTATAACAACGTCTTCCATTAATATGGCCCGTACAAAGAGTGCCATATAGCGAGACTCCACCCGAGCACACCTCAAATCATCACCTAAGCACCTTCGCTCAATTAAAAAACTTCTCTCAAACGATCAAGCTTTTTCCCGAAATTAGTATGCATCAAACACGATATTAAATCGAATTACGCATCGTTGAAACGGTTGAATCGTATCGTCAGGCATGCATATTTAACGTGACCCCAGTGATTCAGACACTGCGTGTACCAGATAAGTACGATGCAGTTAAAAGAGATTGTATGGTCTGAATCTTGGACCCTTTTGTTTTGTAAGGACTTATCTATCATAGATAAAAACCCTTACCAAAGTTTAATTATGGAGTCTGTTCACGGTCGTAATAAAATTCTGGAACGGTTTATCTCGCTACGAACCGCTATGTATGTATACAGAAAATTTATTCACGTGGCATCTGTTTCGACACGTAGTCTATATACCGTTCAATGTACATCCAGACATTTGGAACGTTATCTAACTGGTTCGATGCAATTTTTTATTTTTAACTAATGCTCTACTGATAATTATATATTAATAACCGTTTGAGATATTTATCGAGAAGTTTAACATTGAATAAGCAGATTATAGTTATTTGATAATTTGTAGGTTATACACTGCAATTATACTCTTTATCAAATTTTTCTAATTTTCAAAATTTCAAAATTCTAAATTTTCAGTGTTAAATCTATTTTTTAATTTTCTATTAAAAAAAAATTTCAATTTTCCACATTTCAAATACTCATATTAAAATTTTTACAAATTCCCAAATTTCTAATTTTTTAATTTTCTATTATCAATTTTCAAATTCTGAAATTTCCTAAATTCTAAAATTTCAAATTACCTAAATTCTAAAACTTCAAATTTCCTAAATTCTAAAACCCGAAATTCCCTAGATTCTAAAACTCTAAATTTCCTAAGTTCCAAAATTTCAAATTTCCTAAATTCTAAAACTTGAAATTTCCTAAGATCTAAAATTTTAAATTTTTTCAATTCCCTAGATTCTAAAACCCTAATTTCCCTAGATTCTAAAAACCTAAATTTCCTAGATTCTGAAAACCCAAATTCCCTAGATTCCAAAATTCTAAATTCCCTAAATTCTAAAACCCTGAACTCCCTAGATTCTACAACCCTAAATTTCCAAAATTCTAAAATTTCGAATTTCCCAAAATCTAAAGTCCCAAAATTACTAACTTCCAATTCCAAAATTTCCAAATCTCCATTTTCAAAATTTGTAAAAACCACTTCTTCATTTGACATGAACCGCTACCACTGTAACTAAAATAGTACTTGACCCATCCTCCATCATTCTAGAATGTACAAAAGTTGCAAACTCAAAATATCTCAATTGTACCTCAACTTGTCATAAACCACAACTAAAAATAATTTAAGTAAATATAATTTAACTAGAAATAATGTAATTAAAAATAATTTAACTGAAAATAATTTGTATAATTATACAAATGAATGAAACAAAATTCTCATTCGATACCGAAGAGGTTAATCGTGCAGCAGTAACGGTAGCACTAACCTAAGCGCGACGTGCGAAGAAATTACAAAGTTAAAACATTCGACTCTCTCTTCTTTGTATGTGGTAGTTGTGCGACAACGAGGAGAAAGAAATAAGAAAGATTCGAAGAGAACATACCTGGCTGAGAACAGAGCTGCTCAGCTGGGACTTGACAAGAAGGGATTTAAACACCTCTCGTTCCACATTTCCACTCGTGGGAGAGCAGATCTTCTCGTAGACTTCTCTGTAGAACGCTGGTATGCAGCCTGGTTGGTTACGGCGACGAAAAGCAAAATAAAAGTACATCACTTCGCGAGAAGTTACCGAGTGTCACTTTTCACGAAAATAAAAAAGATTGACGTGAAGGTCAATCTTGGGGGAAAACCGTGGGACATTTACGTAAACCGTTATTGCGTAAACTAACCTCAAATGGTAAATGTAAATGATATTAACAGTGTGTCTAGTATTGTGATACTAGGAAGAGATCTAGTGAAAATATTTGAAAGAGATTTAGATATCAGACGATTGATATGTACTAATGTGAACAACATTTGAAATCGTATATACTTATATTGGAACTGTTCATAACAAGTCTCGATATATGGCCGATATTACAGATTTTGTAATATTTACTGACTATACTAAAATATTGATAAATTGATAATATATGATTTTGATTGTGAACTTGAGAAATTTTTTAATTTAGAAATCTAGGGAATTTTGGTTGTGAACTTGAGAAATTTTAAGATTTAGAAATCTGGGGAATTTTCAGCTTTAGAAATTTGGGAATTTGTGGATTTGGAAATTTGATAATTTGAGATTTCAAATTTTCAGGGTTAGTTTAGTGGTTTGGAGAATTTGGAAATTCGAAGAATAGAGAATTCAGTGATAGAAAAAATTGAAATCTTAAGAAATGGATTATAGAGGATTTTAAATTTGGAAATTTGAAAAATTTCGAAAATTAGATTTGAAAAATTTTGAAAATTAAAAATTTGAAGATTTTGAAATTTGTAATATTTTAGAATTTAAAAATCCGGAGATACGCAATTTTGAAAATATATAAATTTCAAATTCAAGAATCTGCAGATTTGGAAATATAGAAATTTCAAATTCAAGAATCTGCAGATTTGGAAATATAGAAATTTATAAATTAAAAAATTTGAAGTTAATGTTTATTGATATTGTATTGACAATACATATCGACTGTAAGAATCTAGATACATTTACAATATGTATACGTGTATCAATCGTCTGAGATCTCCCTAATATTTACAATGCTAGTATTTGTCGATAAATTTTTGTATTGCATCATACGATCATTTCACACTACACGATTAGACAGAAGTTAAAGATATCAAAAGCACAATATCTGTAAAGATGTTTACTAAATAACAGAGTGTAAATAAAACATTTTACAAAAGATCATAAATTGAAAAAGGAAAATTGTGAAAGAGCATTAACGAAACTTGACATTGCTAAGAGGGTACATAAAAGTTGCTTTTAAAAACCAGACGACCTCGGGAAGACCTTGTCAAAGATGTGTATGGTACACGGGTTCATCATTTACCGAACGACAGATCGGTCGACGCCATATTGGATCACTTGTAGATCATCCAGGATCCTGTGAGATCGTTGCACCACAGTTTTTTTTAAATTAGTCACATACGCAATAATCTTTCGAGTAACGATTTAAGTGCACTCGCGTTGTTCGTTTTGAAAAGACCACAATATCATCTGTCGGCAGGGTATGAATGATGATACGAAATCACTAACACCATACGCCATTGCCGTGTGGCGCAAAACTGACGACTAACGCGATTTCGCCGACCGGCTGACTCTTACTTCTCCCGCCGCGCATGCGCACTAGTAAACATGCGTAGTAGTATGTCGATTCAACTTTCAAACGCGGGAAATTCAAACCTTTCATACTACGTATGTAAAATTAAAACAGTTAACAGACACTATAAACTTTATTAGTACTTCTATTCTCGAATATGCGATTGAATAATAAAAATAAATAACAGAATTGATATCAAAGCTAGATTTGTGAGGAAAATAATTAAAAAATAGAAACAAATAAGACCGTAGTGTCACAAGTAGGGAAATTATTTTTGCTTTTAAGAATGTTTGACAGAAATAAAAAATAGATACAATAAATTACAGTTATATTTTACTGTGGCAATTTTTTAAAACATTTACGTATAATACTTTTCTTCTTATTTTACTAGTAAGAGAATATAGACGTTGTATTTTGTATATTTATAATATTATATGTATAAATATTCTCAATAAAAATATTTCAGTAATAGTAATTATTTTATTAAGTTTACGTTTTTAGAATACTGTTAATATACTTTGTAAATGTGATCAAAAATATAAATTGTTTAAGTATAAAAGCGTTGAGAATATAAAAATTATTAATTATCATCCAATGGACCTAAGGGAAGTGGTTTTGGCAAAGGTTTCTCGAGTTCTCTAATTTCTTTGCGGATTTCTTTGGATTTTTGTTTGTCCACTGATTCGATTAAACGCAATTTTTGTGCTATTTCTTGTTGTATTATGGGGCGATATTTTTTTCCCATTCCTAGGGATTCCATGTCGCTTAGAAATTCCATTCTTTCTTGGATTCCGCGTACCACTGTAAAACAAAATAAAAAATACAGTATTGTTGATATTTTAGTTTCAGTAAAAGCACTATACCAGAATTGAAAATTTCTACATTCTCAAATTTTCAGATTATATTTCTAAATTCTTAAATTTTCAAAATTTTTCATTTTCTAGCAACCAAATACCTAAATTTTAAAATCCAAATTTTGTAATTCTTAAATGTTACAAATTATTAAATTCTTAAATTCCCAGACATATTCCTAAATTCTTAAATTCTCAAATTTTATCATTTTCTAGCAAGCAAATACCTAAATTTCAAAACCTTATTTCCAAAACCCGAATTTCTAAATTTTTAAATGTTACAAATTTCCAAATTCTTAAATTCTAAATGTCTACATTCTCAAATCCTTAAATCCTAAAATACCAAATAACAAACATTAAATTTCCCAAATCCACAAATTTTCAAATTCACCACCAAATACTGATAACCCTCAAACATTAATAACGAGTATAAATAGTCAGAGATCTCTATAACGTATTAACTGATTTTTATCTCTTACAATCGTCAATAGGATTTACATCGTCCGGTAAACTCTGTCCTCGCCTCGCTTTGTGGTGAATTTTCGGTCCACGCGGAGTTTCCGGCATATCCTTCCCGTACGCCATTATGCACGCCAAGTGGCGCTTTTGTTTCTCTTTATTTCCTGTAGTTTAACAAAATTAGAGCAGTAAAAGCATGATGTGAATATGTTAACAAAAGTAAAGAAAACATTGATTGATTGATTTTATAAGGGCCTCGACTGCTATGATCATTGGCCCAGTAAAGAAGACAATTGTGTGATAAAAAGAGTATATACAGCCTCAAAGAAAACAAATGCGTGCAAAAACAATATTGAAATACCAAAATTGTAACAGTATTATATTTCACGTTATTACATTTATAAAAGTTAAAATTACTGTGGGAAGTTTAAAATTGTCTTACGAAGTGGAGATGTTCTTCTGTACTGTTCTCTCTCGTATGCCCCACTTTGAATAATTATATCCTGCGTTCGCCTTTTCCAAACGGAAGGCATCATGACCTGCAGATAATTTATTATTAAAGTAATAAATGTGATTATTTTATATAATAATTCGTTAGTACATTTATTAGAGTAAGTTATTATAGAAGAAGAAAATTTGAGTATTTTGCACAATAGCTTCTTAGTAGGTAAGACTAAGTGATTTATTATTAAACTAGTAAATTTAATTATTGTCAAATTGCTACTAGATTAAGGTAATTTATTATAAAATTAGTGAATTTTATTGTCTTATATAATAGTTTATTAGATATTCTATTTTACCCGATATTCGGTGTTGCGTTTGTTTGCATTTTGTTTCGATCTATCAATAGGAGCTGGTAAGGAATCACCCCTGTCGATTGCTTCTTGAATTGATTTCCTTCTCATCATACTTACTTTAGACTCTTCCATTAAAACTGTGGTATAAAAGAAGAAGATAAAATTAATTCTTAATTGTTATAAATTGTAGATTACAGAGATGAATACTTGAATAACTAATTAACCAATATACAATAAAAATATGTAGGTACATATGGGGCTATTGCAGTATAGGTATAGTATACTTATTTAGAACGTATGACATCACATATTATAAAATTAGAAATTAAATAAATTTTCAAATTTCCAATTCAAAAAATTTCAAATTCTCAAAATTTGAAATTCTCAAATTTTCAAATTCTCCAAATTTGAAATTCTCAAAATTTCAAATTCTCTAATTTTCAAATTCTCAAAATTTCAAATTCCCAATCTTCAAATTCTCAAATCTTCAAATTCTCAATTCTTCAAATTTCAAATTCTTCAAATTTCAAATTCTCAAATTTTCAAATTTTCAAATTTTCAAATTTTCAAATTTTCAAATTCTCAAATCTTCAAATTCTCAAAATTTTAAATTCTCAAATCTTCAAATTTTCAAAATTTCAGATTCTTCAAATTTCAAATTCTCAAATCTTCAAATTTTCAAATCTTGAAATTCTCAAAATTTCAAATTCTCAAATCTTCAAATTCTCAAATCTTCAAATTCTCAAATCTTCAAATTCTCAAATATTCAAATTCTCAAATTTACAAATTCTCCAAATTTCAAATTCTCAAATTTCAAATTTCCTAATCCTCCATATTACTAAATTTCCAAATTTCTAAATAATCAAATTACCAAATTTCCGAATTCTGAAATTATTAAATTTTCCACTTGCAAAAATTTCTAAATTTCTGCTCAATTCTCAGTTCATTTACCACAGCATATTTATCACCAATTACTCTGTATAAGAGTAAATTTCGTTTTACTGCAATTAAAATCGAAAAGAAAGAAAAAACAAACGGAAACTAAATTACGAACGTAATTACCGTTAATGTGGGAAATTCCGTTAACGTGCAGATTAGCTTATTAATACGAACGTTAAATGAACGTATCAGTCAAAATGGAAAAATAAAAGTGGGTTCCGCAAACCATGCGTTCTGCACTGTAACCACTTATTGTGTACGTTAATTAAACATCATTAAATCAAGTCCAGTAGAGGACTAACGAGTATAAGTACATGAATTTCATGTTATATTGTCATTTTTAATTTTAATTACGAATTTTGTGACCGTTTTAATAATGCATTGTTATAACTATCTATATTGGTTTAATTATAAAGTTTTAAAAAGCGCGCCACTGGGTCCATGAAATATAGCATTTTTAATTATTGATTCTCGTGCTTCAAAAAAATTAGTTTATTACTATTTAAATTATTACTATTATTATTTAAATTATTCTTGTGATTATAAATTTATGCATATATAGTAAAGCTGTTATTTTGTGAAAAAAGAATTTTTTCAGGTAGTTTCGTCGTTCGCCGCTAGATGGCGCCAGTGGCGCGAATTTTGCGTTGATCATCGGAGTCGTCGTCGGACAAGAAGAATTCTATTTTCAAGCCGTTGATTAAGAAGAATTTCATTTGTACTTGATATTCAATTTTATTTATATTCAATTGTATTTTTAAAAGAAAAACGTTCGTTGTTCATTCCGTAATTAAATCTGAATCCAAAACCACATATTTTTAAATCAATTTCAATAAATCAGTTATTTTTGAAAGTTAATATTAATTGACTATTTGAAATATAGAAAAAACAAACTCTTTAATTTCAAAACAAGTATTTAAATAAAATTAAAAAATATATAAAAATGGAGCTTGTACAATATATTCGGATTTATGAATCAATTACTTTGTAATAATAAACCATTCTTTACTGCACAAAATTGTTGTAACAATTTAATTAAGAATGAAAAGACGAACAGTAAATGTTCAATATTGAAATTAGGGGGAGAATACAAATTTTATCTTGTACTCATTTAAAAATTCTAAGTGTATATAACCTATGTAGTTATTATACATAATTTTGTTGCTTAATACATATATCATTCTGCTACTCAATACAAATATAATATTCTTAAAATGAAATAATAAATTAACCAATAAATACGATAACGTGATGTACAATAATAATGTTATCCTTGCATATACACATGTTTTAATTATCTTATCGCTTGCAGAATATATAAAATGGATTTAACAAATGTAGGTTACCTAATTCTGTGAGCAAATTCATTTACTCCTGAAATTGATTATTTTTTACCATTGTCTTTCACTAAGCTGCTTACGTTTAATTAGATTTTTTGTGTCCTCGCTGTATTTCGCTCTCGGTGGGTGATGAAACGCACCCACCCCTTTTTCAACCCTCTGATACTTCCGGTCCATGTCAATCTTCTGTACGATGGTATAAACTATTAACAACTATCAAGCAATTTATTAACTAGAAATGTTACAATTCGTTGCACCTCGAAAAGACAATGGTAACTTGATGGAAACCACAAATAATCAAGATGGCGTTTCTATGACTACTTTAAAGACGATTCAGCCACGATCGAACTAACTTTCAAACTTTTTTGAAGTTGTGCTGGTCAATATTACGAGCTTCGTTATCGACTAGTTCGTTGCTCTAGTTAGAACTAGAATGCTTTTACCTTCTGTGGAATTATGTGGAAATGTAAAAGGTATATTGTAATATTTGTGTGATTTAATAGAGTATGATAATAAAATTATTGTAATTGTAATAGTTAAGGTATAGTTATTAAATTGTAATAATAATAATTATAATATAGTAATTAAATTGTAATAATAATAATATCAACATAGTAATTAAACATTAATATAAATATTAATAATTGTAATATTGTAATTAAACTGTGATGACAATAATTATAATATAGTAAATAAACTGTAATAATAATAACTTCAACATAGTAATTAAATTGTAATAATAATAATTTCAACATAGTAATGAAACTGTATCATAAATATTAATAATTATAATACAGTAATTAGATTGTGATAGCAATAATTACTATACAGGGTGGCTTACTATACTAGCTAACTATAGTAATTACTATACAGAAAACATTTGCTGTTTTGATGCATGTGTAGCACTTTTCCCAGCTTCAAAATAAACTGATAACATGTCTATCTTTTCTTCTTTAGAATAATTCATTATTCTGTGATAATTCACCGTATCGTTGTATTCATCGTATTAGAGACGTAACAGAGACTAAATTTCACTGTTACTGCGTAACAAAAAAAACAAAAACTCACAATTCGTTTAGTGACAAGTAACCTCTCAAAGCATGTAGAAAAACATTTGCTGTTCAGTTAGGGCAATTCATAATATTGACCAGAAAGTCACGATTTCCTAACAAGTTAGAATTAAAATATCTCCTAAACTAATGATTTCTTTACATAAATAGATTAATACTTTTTTGTAAAGAATATGAAGGAGGAGAAGATGCAATAAAAAATATATGATTCCATTTAAAAAAACATTAATGAGCTTCATATGTCCTTTACACGTCCACCTACAAAAAAAATATACCACCAGCATATGCCCCTCTCAAAAGCATTCAACTTCATCTGAAACATTGTTTGTTATAAGTAATAACAATCACGCAAATCTAGATAGCAAAATGTGGTGAACCACTCTGTATACTAGTTAAATTATAATAATAATAAAAATTACAATATATTAATAAAACTATAATAATAATAATAATGATAGTAAAATTGTAAATATTTCTGACAATACGAAAGAGTCACTCCTTCAAAGAAAATTATATATTTACACTGAACTAAACTATGTACATAACATCACAAGAAATTAATTCCCTCATAATTACAAGAAAAATCATTTTTAACGATCAATCATCGTTCCATTACGTATAATTACATAACTGAAGAATTCTCCTTTTTACGCTGTTCATATTTATACTTTCATTAAAATACTGTATTACACTTTCATTAAATGCCTAATTGGAATCAGAAGCATCATTTATGTACTTACTGAACTGCTTATAGATATACTGATAATTCCTCACTTATTATTTATTATTCTTTACTCAGCTTTAAAAATTGTATTTATAAATAAAATTATCGACATTACGTTGAGAATATTTATTATTTTTACTGTCGAAAATGAACTCATACTTTGAATATATTAAAATTTAATGTTTAAAAGAATATACGAAAAATTTAATATTTAAAAGAATATGCTAAAATCTAATATTTAAAAGAATGTACTAAAAATTTAATATTTAAACAAAAATATTTTAATTAAAATTCTATTATTAACCAAATGAAAATTTGTAAAATTAACAAAAATTTATTTCCAGCTAATTTGTTTAAATAAACAAAATATTTTATTTTACAAATTGATTAATTCATTTATTTTTAGTGTTTGTCTATGAAAAGGTTGAGAACCAATGAACTAATTTGTCTTATACCCTAACGAACTAGTTTATCATGCACTATGAAACTAGTTTATCTTACATACTGTAGGACTTGCATATAGTACAGTTATTAAGATTTTTAATATTACGTTGCTTGTTAAATTTTTTAAAACTTCAAGAATTCATATTTGGAGATTTTATAAAGAATAATGTTTAGAATCCTAAATACTGTTACTAATACTAATCCTAAATACTAATTGTAATAGTATATTACAGTATTAAGATAAATGATCTATTATTGGATATACAAGATTGTGATTATTTAAAAATTCTTATTAAAATATAAAAATTCCTTTAAATTTGAGTAACTCATTTTCTGTAGATTTCCAAGTAAATTAATTTTCAAGTGCAACACAAAAGCAATTATTAACAAAAATCGCCTGGGGTTTGATATTTCAGTTCACCACTTTTATTACATTCATAAGAATTACTAATGTTACAAATTGATTCTGAAGAGAGTAAAGTATGAAAAATGCCAAATCTCTTTAGAATTTAAAACATTGAAAGAATGTTACTTCTTCAAAAATTATTTTATCGAAATCCTAAGAGATTTCAGTAAATTACACAATGTATGAATCTGCAAACATCAATTTACCCCCAAAATAAGTGCAAGCTCAATAGTTTGTTTAATATATAATGTATGTTTATTTTAAATGTGCAATTAGCAGTAAAATAACAGGAAAACATTAATTTTGCGGCAGTATCAATCAATGATCAAGTTGGGATGGATGCACCTTGAAGGATGCGGCAGTGGATCGGCTTGGTGCGCATGTCGTGCAATTTACCACCAGGGGTAGATCTACCTCCTGGACGGAATAAACTTGCGTTTTACGCGTCGAAGGTACACGGATTCACCCGCAAGTAAATCGTTTGAATTTCGTGTTGTATCTTCGATCGCCGTGACAAGGATTAATTTCGTTCGAGATCTTAGACTTCATATATGATACCGCTCGACAATCAAATCTTTCGCTTTCAACAGAGCGAGAGACAGTGAAAGTTATTGATTCTCGTTGTGAGCTACGTTTTAGTAATATTTCGTGCTCTCTTTTCTGCCAGGTGAGTGACGGAGTATACTTTCGCTTGGAAAGCTAATATTCTGGTGACTAATTGCATCCCTGGTGCGGCGGGGATACCCCTTTTTTTCGTGTTGTTGTTATCGTCATTACGGGCGAAACGATCGCAGCGACTCCCATCTCGGATTACCTTTTATTATTTTTAAAACATTTGCCATTATTGTATTCTTTGTTTTCTAGATTGCCACTTCGAGATTGTACGAATTCACCATTATGATTTTATCAGTTGGGGTTCATAAAAAGAAATAGTTTTTGGTGCTCATTTTTTCTTTCAAAATTAAACTTAACAAAAAACTCAAATGCTATTCTGCAAATTACAATTGTATTACCTTTTATTATTTTTAAAACATTTGCCATTATTGTGTACTTTTTTGTTTTCAAGATTCCCAATGTGAGATTGTACGAATTCACCTTTTTGATTGTATCAGTTGGGGTTTATAATAAGAAATAGGTTTTGGTGTTCATTTTTTCTTTCAAAATTAAATTTAACAAAAAACTCAAATGCTATTCTGCAAATTATAATTCTGTTATTATTACAATTCTATTATCTTTACAATTCTGTTATTATCACAATTTTGTTATCATCACAATGTTATTATCACAATTGTACTACAACCACTGATTTTTATAATTAATAAGATATGAGAACACTAAGTTTAAAAAGATTAGATAATAAAAATAGAATCTATTAATCTTAATAGTGTTGTCATAAATCATTTTATTTCCTGTTTCAGGAATAATATTTCCAAGTTTTATTATAAAATAAAACAAAATGAAAGTAGGACTCTTAAAAAACTTTTTACACTATTTTAACTTGAAGCAAGGCACAGTGCTAATAGCTGTGTTTCAGCTGGTAAATATAACAATTATTTATTTCTTTTATATGGTAGATATAAATAAATTATTTGAATTAATTGAAATTTTTTTAATACAGTTTACGTCAGGCTTCAGTATGATATTTTTTGTGCTGGCATTGGTACACGCTATGGGAATACAAGAAATGGTGGTGAGGGATACAGAGGATGCTTTAGAGAGGGAAGCCTTAGAAGATATTTCATCTAATCATCTTAATACTAGGAAAATGGATATGGCTCATCATAATGCAACTGGTGCTTACTTAATTATAATCAGAACAACTTTATATTTTACTTTATGGCCATTGAAATGTTTATAGATATTCTAGTTTAAAATATTATATCAATTTTTAGGTCTTTATTTGCATATTGGACCTAGAATATTGATTTCTTCTTAAATTTCTAAATTTCCAAATTATTAAGTTATCAAATTTCTAAATTATTAAATTTGCAAATGATCAAATTTCTAAATTAATAAGTTTGCAAATTATCAAATTTCTAAATTAAAAAACTTGCAAATTATTAAATTTCTAAATTAACAAATCTGCCAATAAAGAAGTTTAAAAATTTGGAAATTTAAAAAGATATTTTTATATTTGCAAATTAATTACATTAAAATATTCTTCTGGAAATTTATTTTGAATTAACTTTCCTTCATTTGTGTGAACAAATTTTGAGAGAATTCTTTATTGTTCTAGAAACGGTTTACTCAATGTATTGTGGGTTGGTGATCACAGTGATACATTTTATTTCCACTATTTTGCTTCTGTACGGTGCGCTAACGGTAATAATACTATACCTAGTTATGCACCAGAGTAATATTTTGATTTAAAAGAAGTCATTTCTTCCGGTAGAATAATCGTCACTTTATGGCGCCTTGGATGATGGTCATGATGACCATAATATCAGCATTGACAATTTCCTTGTTTTTGGTGGAACAAGACTGCCCTTTTATCGCCACGCTAGGCGGCAAAGCAGATATCTGTGAACGTATGTCTACATTTAATCTAAATACTTCTTTACAATATTAGAAATTATTTCATTATTAATAATTTATCAAGTTATAAAGAAAGTTCAGCACAGAACTTTTTAAAAACTTTGTCAAACCATAACTTCAGTCTACTGTCACCATTTTTACCTATAATAGATATACAGGGTTTATTCTCTAACATTAATCTCCATTTTTCAAACATTTCCACAAATTTAACCAGAAAAATAAGTAAAACAGGTTATTCAATTTCACTGCATATTACAAATTTTTAAAAGAATTGTTTGCAATAAAATTTTCATTTTTACTTTTTTAAACACAACTTAATTGTATAAAATTATAGCTATTTTGCAAAATTAGTCACCGTAATTTTACTGATAAAAGTTCTGCTATGAATTATTGATATGCAAATGCATAACTCAAAAACCAATTGACTTGTGTTCACAACATTTTTAAAAGTTAAACGCCTGTAAACAATGTTAGAGAATACACCATATAGTCATCATTGTTATCTAATAATATGCATATAATCGACTGAAGTTTATGAAAATGAAATACTTTTAAAAAACAAATGCAAAATTTTCTGTACAACCTAATGATTTATGAAATCTATTGTTTTAGGTTTAATCGTTCTGTTTCTGGTAATTACCAGTTCTTACGTGTGGTTTGTGGTGTACAGCACTTACAAAAGTCTCGAAACAAAGAAAGGTTTAACTCATATTCTCCACGGAGTAAAGAAAAAGCCTGTAGTTCCGGTGGTACAAAAATCGAAAGCCGTTCCGGCACACGCGAACAAACCATATGAGGTTTAAAGATATTACAAAACGATGTAGAAGTAGCTACAGAAAATCGGTTTTATTTGTTACAATAAATGTGAAATTGTATTTGGTTACAAGATTCTCGGTACCGAGAGATATTCTTCAAATGACAGTGTTTTTTAAACAAACAATCGGGAACGGTACAAAAGATTTATAATGGTCGTACAAAATTATGACAACTAAGCATTATCTTTGCCTATAAAGAAAAGTGAAATGTTTGACAAAGAAAATGTGAAAAATTTATGTTGGAAAAACACTGTACATTATCATAATACATGACATGAAGACGTTTATTTTACGAAGCTCAAAAGTGATCTGCAGTACAAAAGCTTGCTTCATATTATTACATGCGTTACATCTTGCTCATGCGTTACAATTAATTGTTGATAATTCGCGTTGTTTTATAACGGTACTTTGATAATTACACTTTGAACAACGCACAGAAGTTTAACATTGTTCTTGAATTTTTAATAATAAAATTGCATATCGAAAAGCGGCGACGCATATATCGTAATATATTCTTTATCTTAATCGTTGCCATAATACCGAAATTCTCTAAACGACATTTTATTGAAAGCTTAAGTTTCCATACGATGATATTCTCCTTATGTAAGACTGAATTTTAATTGTTAGCGTTGCGTAAGGTTTATTATTCGAAAAGAAAAAGAATAAAATACATTGCTTGTATCTGATCATTGATATTTTATTATATACAAATACAGAGTTTCGTCTCATATTCATTTTTATTTTAATACTCAATGTCATGTTCTTAATGACACTACAACGTTGATATTTTGTGGTAATATTTCAATATTAACAAGTGAATGTAGTTATTTCTTGTGTATATGTATATTAAATGTACGGAGATCATAAAAATAAAGATTACAAAACTCTATTACGTTATATACGTCCCATTACTTATTTGGCTAACCAGCGAAGACGGATTCAATGATTAGTCAAATGTTATAATTTACAACTGATTTGAAACTCATGATACGAGATATAAATTGCGTTCATATACATTCTATAATATTAGACGGAAGATTCATAATTTTATAAAATAAATATATATAAAAAAAAAAACGCGATTGAATTATTAACAAGGTATATGTATACTACAAAAAAATGATTTGATTACAATGATGTCTTTCATATGATACTTTTGCGTCAATAATAATGATAAATTCTTTTAATTCTTATGTAAGAAAACTACTTTTTACAACGACGCGTTCAATGAAATTTAATATTCTTTTTTCTGTAACATTTAAGAACTTGTTGTTCTATAAGTAGAATAGGCCCACATAACAAGTCAATAACAACATGTTATAGTATTCCTTAAAGTTCATTTTCAATTTGTTAGCAATAATTCTCGCACAGTGCACATAACGCCAACAAATAATAGTACTTTTCGTTTGGTCCTGTACCACATAGTACGACTTTAAATAACAAACAGTACTCACTTTTCATGTAAACTATTTCTTGTAAATTCATTTTCCACGAACACTGAAAATGTATCAAAATATACTCTTTCTGTCCAATTAGTAATCGATATATTACAGAAAATTAAATAACATACAATTTTTTAAATTTCCTATATTTGGGAGTTTATCTCCTCTTTATTCTCCAATCACACTTTATCGTCAGTTAATTCAAGGAACTGTGCATAGAAATCTCTTGTGCATTCACCTTTATTGTTGAATACGAATTTATAATAACTACCATCTGCACATATTACTGTAAAGTAATCATAAATTGTTATATGTGAATATTTAGGAAATAAAATATTGCTGCAACATATTACTGACCTATAATACTATTGTTATCTGTTCCAAATGCACACATACATTGGGGGCCACCTGGAACTTGAAATTTACAAAAGCTCCAGCTTGAACTAAAGTATTTTGGCAGGAAAGTGGCAGATGCTAAACTAGATTGACGATTTAATTTTTGATCTTCTACAGCAAAAACGTGTACAGTACCATGATCACTTGCTACACATAACCAAGTTGAATCATGATTAAAATTGATGCTGTAATGATATAAATTAATAAAATCACTAATGATGATGTAAAAATAATTTATAACAGTGCTTTGTTCTTATTTACCAATAAATATTTGCATGATTTGCTCCTCTTCTCAGTTCATTAATCATATTTCCACTCTGTGTCTCAAATACTCTTATCAAGGTACCTTTTTCTGAAGCAGTGGCCAATCTAGTACCTTGTAAGTTTAAAGCTATACACGATAATGGTGTTTCATGCGCTTCTATATTTAATGGTTGCTTTTCTGTATTAGCCAAATCTATAACTGTGAAAGCAAGAAAAAACTGATTTGTGAAAAAAGAACTGAAAAAATTAAAATCTATTAAATGAAATTTTACCTTGCACATGTCCATTTTTTCTACCAGGGAAAGCAAGCAAGGAATTACTACTGTTTGGACATAAGACACACAGGCCCCTAGGATTTGGATTGGTCTCAAAAACATGAAGCTGTTGAGGATTTTGTGTGAATGTATAAACTTTTATCACACCTTCTAAAATTACTACTATTCTATCTCTTCTTAATTTTACACCCTTTACAGGGGCATTAAACTCTAAAGTAATTGCTGGAGATTTCTTTAGGTCATCCCATATCATAACTGCAAGTATTATATACGATAAGTGACATATTCTTTTTGTTTATAATTTCTGAAAATACATGAAACATTTTACCTTTATTCGTTGGATACATAGGTTTTGCTCCACTGCCAACTAATGCTAAGTAGTTACACCTAAATAGCATCTCAACATAACCAAGGCCTCCATCACTAAAAAGACGTGCCTTTTCCTTTAAAGGATCACAGTTATATACTCTGAAGCCATTTTCCATACCACAAGCAAAACATCCTACAAATGGAAAGATTATGTACACAATAATGATATTATTATCTTTCCAGCGTTACACATTTATCTCTTTCTTTAAAACTGCAATATGGTATTTGAAGTATTTACGCTTCTTACTTCATATATACACATGGAGAAATTGAGATAAACCATCACTGTTGTATGATTATCAATGTACTATTTATGAATTAATATCATATCAAATGATATGTAAAAAAAAACAATGTACAAGAAAATAAAAGATGATACATAAAATAAATTAATTTTCAAATAATTTGAGTAAAACCTGTAATATTACAAATAAGTGTTTCATTTAATATTGTAATTATATTGTATTAACAATCTGAAAATAATATATATATATATATATATATATATATATATATATATATATATATATATATATATATATATATATATATATATATATATATATATATATATATATATATATATATATATATATATATATATATATATATATATATATATATATATATATATATATATATATATATATATATATATATATATATATATATATATATATATATATATATATATATATATATATATATATATATATATATATATATATATATATATATATATATATATATATATATATATATATATATATATATATATATATATATATATATATATATATATATATATATATATATATATATATATATATATATATATATATATATATATATATATATATATATATATATATATATATATATATATATATATATATATATATATATATATATATATATATATATATATATATATATATATATATATATATATATATATATATATATATATATATATATATATATATATATATATATATATATATATATATATATATATATATATATATATATATATATATATATATATATATATATATATATATATATATATATATATATATATATATATATATATATATATATATATATATATATATATATATATATATATATATATATATATATATATATATATATATATATATATATATATATATATATATATATATATATATATATATATATATATATATATATATATATATATATATATATATATATATATATATATATATATATATATATATATATATATATATATATATATATATATATATATATATATATATATATATATATATATATATATATATATATATATATATATATATATATATATATATATATATATATATATATATATATATATATATATATATATATATATATATATATATATATATATATATATATATATATATATATATATATATATATATATATATATATATATATATATATATATATATATATATATATATATATATATATATATATATATATATATATATATATATATATATATATATATATATATATATATATATATATATATATATATATATATATATATATATATATATATATATATATATATATATATATATATATATATATATATATATATATATATATATATATATATATATATATATATATATATATATATATATATATATATATATATATATATATATATATATATATATATATATATATATATATATATATATATATATATATATATATATATATATATATATATATATATATATATATATATATATATATATATATATATATATATATATATTTTTTACGTGTTATATATATATATAAACTTAAGTATTTTAAAAAGACTATAACTGAAATATCAATAAAAATAAAATTTGTATGAATAATTCGATAAGTTAAATTTAACGCGAATATATTATTCAAATTTGACATAAATTTCACATGAAGAAGGTTAGGAAGTCGAAAATGACATTATATTTTTGTATATAAACGGTTTTTAATCAATAGTATTATCCAACAATATTCTGTTTATTATTAAAACGATATCGATTACATAAAAAGATACAATTTTGATACATTTGTACGACAGACATTAAATATAGAGGTTAGGAATAAAAAAATGAATTTGACAGTAAATGACCGGACTGTCAAATGTAGTACGCTCGGTCACATACCTTGATCCTGATTGAAACCAGCATAAAGCAAGCCGTTCCCGTGAGGATTCCCTGCAGTTAAGTTCATTGCAAATCACTTAATTAATCGCAACATTAGCTCGAATGATCGGTTTACTCGTGGAATTCTATTACATCTTCGCCGGCAAGCAACACTAGATACTTTTCGTAACTACGAAGTTCCGTCACCATCGTAGGGTCTCTGCGCATGCGTATTCTTTCGTTTTAATCAGCTGATACTATAGAAGTAGATCACAACTTTCATATAAATAAAGTATTGATATTGTTACAAAAAGTTGTGTTCAGTGTTATGGATTTAATCAAAAGAAATTTAATACGTTTTAATTTTTTTTGTACAATGTACAGATGAAGAAACAGCAAATAACATTCAAATATTCAGTTATTTTGTGTACATAGTTTTGATACAAGTTCATATTCGTTTGAGGTTATATTGATAATCAGAATGAAGAGTGCATGTAGTAATTTCTTAATAGCAAAATATTTTCGTACGTGTACTAATTTGTATCGAGAAACACCACGAAATTTAAAAGGAAAGAAACATAGTTCGCAATTATGGCTTACAAGGCAGCTGAAAGATCCTTATGTAGAAAAAGCGAAGAAAGAAAACTACAGGTGCAGAAGTGCATTTAAATTATTAGAAATCAATGAAAGGTTTAAGATTTTGAAACCTGGACAAATTGTAATCGATTGTGGTGCTGCTCCTGGTAGCTGGACCCAGGTTGCTATTAAATTAACGAATGCAAATGGTGTAAATAATGAAGCTGTTGGAACAGTGATTGGAATAGACAAAATACCAATGTATCCAATCGAAGGTGCAACTTTATTGGGTAATATGGACTTTACAACAGAAGCTTCACAGAAAGAGCTCCTAAAACTATTAAAAGATAGAAAAGCTGATGTAGTTTTATCAGATATGGCTCCAAATGCATCTGGTGTAAGGGATATAGATCATGTAAATATAATAAAACTTGCATATCTTGCTTTCAAGTTTGCTTTACAAACCACATGCATAGATGGAACGTTTGTTTGTAAAATTTGGGATGGTGGACAGTCTCAGCAATTAGAACAAGATCTTTTAAAATTTTATAAACATGTTAGAAATGTAAGGCCACAAGCAACTAGAGATGATTCTACTGAAAAGTTCCTTTTAGCAACAGGATTTAAAGGAGTAAAAACTCTGTCCAATAATGCAGCGTGATGGTTAAGTTATGTAAATTTCAAATTGTTTAATAAATAAACTCATTTGTAATATAATCGGTTATTATAATTGGGTTAGGTTGTAAATAATAACAAATCACAATATTTTGATGTAAGATCAACATCAAATGATTTTATAACTTCTTCCTTTTGCGATCTAACAGCTCCTACACAACACGACATGTATAATATACATCGATATATTTAGTTATAAATAATACAATAATATTTAATACAGTTACAATTAATACACATTAAGATGCTGTTGATGCTTCTTAATTATACTATTATATATACAATTCTTCTTAACAAAATTAATATGTACACAAATTAACATTCAGATACATGAGAGAGATTACACACCACATTGAAGCATACATAGAATGATAAAATTACTGGCCATGATATTATAATTTTCAATTTCTTAAAATTGATTGTACGTGTAAATCCCACGTAAAGAAAAATTCGATAAAAATCATGTGTTTTGATGATTCCAATGATTTATAATTTATATTGTATGCATTCTATCGCGTATCCTCATATAACATTATTGTACATGTAAAATGGGAAAAAAACAATTGTAACAATGATTGGGTAGCTTAACAATATTGATGATCGCTTTTGACTGTTCCGAATACTATGGCCAGAATGTTGATATAGAATCATGACCAAATTGCACACTGAAAACATTCATATTACATAGATACTTGTTTTCACTATAAAATGTGTTCAGAGATTCCCAAACTATGGATCCAGAGATTTCCACCAGTGGATTGTATCGAATACTAACATGTAAGAAATATAAAAACAACAGTATTTTATTTAATTTTCTCTTTTTTTTAGCTTGTTTTATAAGTAAATGAGTTGTGAAAAATTATTGTTTTTAGAAGTAAGACTGGATATTGAAATTTGACAATTTTAAGTTTTTGGAATTTTTGAACTTTCAGTTTTTTTAGATAAATGCCAAGCAAATGAGGTATAATAACAGTTCAAAAGTGGGTCTCCACCCATAAAAATTTGGGAAACCCTGATGTAGTTGTAAGTTTGACTCAATTACACTGGAGAGGCATAAAATATTGAAACCTTGTAAAGAATTGAATAAATTGCATACTATTGTACACACATTAAATTGTACTAAAGAAAAACTTGTGAACTCATTAAAATACTTGTTGGTACCATAAAACACATTTTTCTTGTAAACTTGGTAATTTCTAACAACACCTATGTATCAGTATGTTTAGTTTAAACATATACATTTAATTATTTCTTAAACTACTGAAAATATAAAAAGTTTGATTTAAAATTGAACCTGCAGATTTTGCAGTATTTAAAGATTTGAGAAATAATTACTAGTATAAACTTAAACTAAGCATCATAGGTTGTATTAAGTTAAACAAAATTTAGATACCGAAGATACTTTCTACACATTGCAGTATTAAATACGGCAACATAAACTTAACAAAAAACGTAATTTCAACAATTTATGTTTCTCCATACCATAAGAGTAGACATGATGACGTGTATAGTATGATAAAGCTGTATAAACAATACTTGGTCGCTGAGGGAACAGCGTTTTACCTTTCGAGATTTTTCATGACAGAAGACGTGTGATTTCGTGTTCTATAAATAAAGCAATACCGCTAAAATCAGTCTGATTCGATATACCGGTTCACAAGAATATTTCGAGTTCGTGAACCCAGATTCCGCGCATTTAAAAAGAATAGAAGTATTTGAAATGACTCACAGGGATGATCTATACAGTGGACAATACATTTTAAATAAGAGGAAAATTAGATACTCTACTCGAACAAGGTTAGTAAAATCATTAAATTTTTAAATTTTCAAGTATTCAAATTGCTTTTTACATATCTGTAAATTTATCCTTTTTTGTATTTAAAAATTTGGTTTTACTAAATGATCAAAATTTGAAATTTTTATGAATCTCTATGTCATTCATTATTAGAGTAGAATATACAGAAATTATAATAACATATGATATGGAAGAATACATATTTTAACATCTATATTTTGTGGTCTAAGATTTATAAGTCCTGTATAGATTCATCCATGAAAATCATATCAAATATTTTTTAAATATTAATACTTGTTGATGTAAAAGTTCAAGATTTAAAATTGAATATAATAATCGCAGTTTGTAATTTAACTACAATATACGCAGATCAATCTCTGCTTTTCTCTGCCAAGCATTTCATAGAATCGCTGTGTTTCTTTGTATTACGAAAGTGAGGTTAATCAATTATGTATCCTATTGTAATTCTTCCTTATCGATACCGTATTATCAATGAGTACAAAGGATGTCACCATTCGAATATACATTGTGCTGGGCAGTGATCTATGGCCACGGTATGCACATTGGCGTAACTAGGGTGGAATTAGGGTGAGTTCGGTAATACTAAATATATTTCATACTAGAAATTTGGAAATTTATATCAATTTTTTCAAATCTCAGACTTTGAGATCCTTGTATTTCTTAATTATTAATTTTCACATTTTTAGTTTCTAAATTTCTTAATTTTTAGTTTTCAAATTTCTTAATTTTCAATTTTTAAATTTCTGAATTTTCAATTTTTTAACTTCAGAATTTCTAAATTTTTAATTTTTAAATTTCTGAATTTCTGAATTTTCAATTTTTTTATTTCTGAATTTCTAAATTTTCAATTCTTAAATTTCTGAATATCTAAATTTTCAATTTTTTAATTTCTGAATTTTTGAATTTCCAAATCCCCAATTTTCAATATTCCCAATATCCAATTTTTAACATTTCCAAATGTTCAATTTCTGCATTTCTCAATTCCTAATTCTAAAAATTTTCAAATATCCACATTGCAATTCCCTAATTCCTAAATATCCAAATTCTCAATTTTTTAATTCCCAAATTTCCAAATTACCAATTTCTACATTTCTACATCTCGAGTTCCAAAAATTTCCAAATTTCCAAATTTCATTTCCCCTAATTACCTAACCTCATTTCCTCTTCATTACCTAATCTAACCTAACCTAACCCCAAAAACCCATTACACCAATGCACATACAATACATACGATCTTATTGCGCTTACATTTCGTACGATAAAACATGATTAAATACGACCTTGTGATCGACTCACTTTGTTCTCATAAGAGAAGTTTCGTATTGGCGCGTTCTTTGTTACAACAGCGCGGTATTCTGGAAATGTATTTTCGGTTTGCATCGTTTCAATCGCAACGTACAGACAGTAAAAAGATGTTAAAAATATAGAAGCTTCAAAAAGTATTCTGTAACAATAAGTTCTAACTTTTAACCACTTATTGTGACGGTAAGACTTTTTGAATTCGTTGTTATAAAAAATCGAGATGCCTAGCGAGATCTTGTTCGATTTTTAATAACATAATTGTGTAACCTTTTTTGCTCGCTAGTTCATCATTTTGTAGAGTGCATTTTAAGTGGAAGGTGAGTTATGTGCATTTTGGATTTTTTTTCAAATTTGAGTGCATGTAGGAGAAATTTTTTTTATGAATTAGGGTATTTAGGTAAGGGTAAATTTTTTTTCTGAAAGTTTGAGGGGAGGATGTAGGGCACTCATTCATGGTAGAAATTTAGGAATTGAAACAGTTTTTTGCAAATTTGTATATTTGTAAATTTCTCAATTTCCAAATTCTCAAATTTCCAAATTTTCAAATTTTCAAATTCTTAAAATTTCAAATTCTTAAATCTCCAAATTCTCTAAATTTCCAAATTTCTGAATACTCAAATTTTGAAACTTCTAAACTTCCAAATTCTCAAATTTTCAAACTTCCAAATTTCTAAATACTCAAATTTTCAAACTCCAAAATTCTTAAATTTTCAAGTCTACAAGTTTTAAAATCACTCAAATTTGAAATTCTCAAATATTTTTATATTCAAATTCCTACTTTTCTACATTTTTTAATTTCCAAATACATACACTCTTCAATCTCAAATTCTCAAATTTCCAAATCTTACATTTCTCTATTTTTAACTTTCCAAACTCTCAAAATTAAAAATTCCCAAATTTCCAAATTTCTAAATTTTTACACCCTCAAATTACCAAATCACAAAAATTCCAAGTTACAAAAATTAAAATGTTTGGAGACATAATTTGAAAACTACTAAATTTTAAAATTCGATAATCTAGAAATTTAGGACATAGATAAATTAAAAAATTTTGAAATATACAAACTTCAAATCGGGAATTTGGTTACCCATAGTGCCCTCTATCGCACACCACTGTATAGTATCGAGCATAGTAGTCTCCTCTAAACAAAATGGCGACGTAACCTAACCCACTTACATCAGAACATTTTCTAAGGAAAATTCAATTACTTGTCAAGCACAAAAATTAATATAACTATTAACCACACATATAATGTTAATATAATGGGTGGTTAATACTCGAGTATTATAAAACATAAAAAATCTTCCATTATATCGCCACTTTTCCTAAAGAAGACTTCAATGTCTAACACTATACTCTTTAACATGTTTCAGGTAAAATGTTACCTGGCAGGTCACATTTCCACTACTCTTTCCTATCAGTATCCTATAGTTAATTATCTAGTACGAATATTGTAACAGTATAGGAGCCTAGAATAATTACCTGCTGTTACTCTGAGTAACTTATCTTGACCAAGTTTATAAATGATTTTCCATCGCAAGTTTCATGCATAACGCAGGTAAAACCTTCAGAAATTCTAACCTGCTAGAGACCCTTTAGATAATGGTATCAATTTTGGCGGCCATTTTTCAAAATACCGTGAAATTTAATTCTGAAACAATGTATTTTAATTAATAGATACAAGTTATGTAAATAATTTCTTCAATGTTCTTTTGTGAAACATATATTTTAACAACATGAAAAATATCACAAATTAAATATAATACAATTAAATGTATTAAATATGAAAATATTAAATGTATTAAATATTGCAATTTACAACTGTAAATGTTACAATTAAAAAAACTTTTAGCTTCTAATTTCTAGAAAGTGAGACATTTATCATAATTTAAAAATTAAAAACTTTTAAAAGATTTTCTGGGTTTAAATGTAAAATTACATATATAAACTGTAAAATAATGCACAAAAAAAATTTATTATGTGTGCAACTTGTATGTTTCAGCGAAAGTATTTTCTACAATTCAAATTTCGCGGTATTTCTTCAAAAATGGCGGTATTGACCTAACCTCCATTTATATGGGGATCTTTACTCATTCCCTTTTTACAGCGCCAGGGAACTATAATATTTTCTTGTTTAGATATGTGCCTTTCCGCAGAATCGGATAAATCGTTTAACATCGATATCAATTAATATAACTACTCGTTATAACTACACAGGATTCGATCGATGGAGATATACTAGGCATTTCGATAACTATTGCACTGGTTACTTTCACCAGCTATTAAGTCGATAAATATTGTTACGTTTCAAATGTCGTTTCAGCATGTTATATACTCATCCTGCTCTATTATAAATACATATCCAGTGTACAGTATCGCTTCATCTTACAGTACGATATAAAACATCTTACTATCCTCGTAAAAATCAAGACATTAGGTTTTTGGTTTTTTAATATGAAATGCCAAATTTTTCGGTACAAGAAAATTACTTTTTAAATTCTAATCTTTTTATGCTTTCAAATACTATTAATTGTGTTGATACTAATCAAACATGAATTAAATTATTTATAATAAAAGTGGAGCTACATTTCTTTTATATTTTTCAATTTTTTGTTTTTATGAACAAATGAAATTTTCAATTTTCTTTTCACAAAATTTGAGTAAGTGTTGAGAATTATTCGAACAATTTCGGAACATAAATTTTCAAAACTAAAAAGATATTCGAGAACAATAAATAATTCTTTAATTAAATAGAAGATTTTCGAATAACGCTCAGCACCAAACTTGATTTTAATTACCGACCGAGTATTGTCGGTTATTGTGTATTGATTCATAAAACATTTTGTATCACAAATATTTTATAAAAACCAATATTTATTTGAAGAAAGTATTTTATTCGTGATGGTAAAAGATTATATAATTAAATATATATTTGAATTTAAAAAGTAATTTTGACTCCCCCTTAAAAAATTTCACATTTCATATTATGCGACCTATTTGAAATTCTCTATAATATCTCGCGTGTAAAATTTAAATCGGCAGAACTTAATTGTAATTAACGCAACAGGCTGCCACCAATGGCGTGACTAGATTGGGTTCAGGTTCTAGTATGATTTTATTAGAAATTATTTGAATAAGTACAGTATCAAACATAGAATTTCACTAGGGATAATGGTGATATAGGAGAAAATGATAATTTTGAAATTTTTGAATTTGGGGATTTTGGGATTCAGGGATTTTGGAATTTTTGAATTTTGGGATTTGAGGATTTGAGGATTTTGGGATTTGAGGATTTTGGGATTTGAGGATTTTGGGATTTGAGGATTTTGGGATTTGAGGATTTTGGGATTTGAGGATTTTGGGATTTGAGGATTTTGGGATTTGAGGATTTTGGGATTTGAGGATTTTGGGATTTGAGGATTTTGGGATTTGAGGATTTTGGGATTTGAGGATTTTGGGATTTGAGGATTTTGGGATTTGAGGATTTTGGGATTTGAGGATTTTGGGATTTGAGGATTTTGGGATTTGAGGATTTTGGGATTTGAGGATTTTGGGATTTGAGGATTTTGGGATTTGAGGATTTTGGGATTTGAGGATTTTGGGATTTGAGGATTTTGGGATTTGAGGATTTTGGGATTTGAGGATTTTGGGATTTGAGGATTTTGGGATTTGAGGATTTTGGGATTTGAGGATTTTGGGATTTGAGGATTTTGGGATTTGAGGATTTTGGGATTTGAGGATTTTGGGATTTGAGGATTTTGGGATTTGAGGATTTGGGGATTTGGGGATTTTGGGATTTGGGGATTTGGGGATTTTTGGGATTTGGGGATTTGAGGATTTGGGGATTTGGGGATTTTGGAATTCGGCGATTTTGGGATTTTGTAATTTGGGGATTTTGGAATTTAGGGATTTTGGAATTTGGGGATTTTGGAATTTGGGGATTTTGGAATTTTGGAATTTGGGGATTTTAGAATTGAGAGGTTTTGGAATTTGGGGATTTTGTAATTTTGTAATTTTGTAATTTTGGAATTTAGGGATTTGGGGATTTGAAGATTGGGGGATCTGGAAGTTAAGGAATTTAAGAATTTAATAAGTTGGGAATTAGAATATTAGAAATTTAGGAATTTGGAAATTTGGAAATTTTTTAATGAAAAATTTGAGAATTTAGAAATTTTAAGGAATTAGAAATTTGATAGTTTAAGGTCTCAGAAAATTTGAATATGAGAATTGGAAATTTGAGAATTTAGGAAATTGGGATTTCAAAATTTAAGGATTTAGGTATTTGAGAATTTCGGAAAATGGAATTTCCAAATTTAAGGATTTAGGAATTTGAGAATTCAGGCAATTGGAATTTCAAAATTTAAGGATTTAGGAATTTAAGAATTCAGGAAATTGAAGTTTCAAAATTTAAGGATTTAGGAATATCAGAATTTGAATATTTAAAAATTAAAAAATTTGGATACTAAAAATTCAAGATTTTGAAAATTTGAGGATTTAGAAATTTATTAATATACTTAAAAAATTTGTGAATATGAGAATTTTTATAACCTGAAAATTTGAAGATTTCATTTAAAAAATTTTTGAATCACAATTGTAGAATTTACAAAAGTTCAAATTTCTAAACTCTTAGACTTCACCATTTTCCACAGACAAAACTACAATGTCCGATATCCTAGGTCTCTCCGCCATTTTTCCTAGGTCTCTCCGCCATTTTCTAACCCTACCCAGAAACCCCAGTAACGCCATTGGCGGGTACAACGTATTCGCAACTTACATACACGTCTCCTGCTTCCTTCGGTATCACAGTATTGTGCTAAGCATTTATACAATTAATCTCATCGAGCAATTCTCTATATTAAACACGGACGCTGTGTTACTCATTAGCATTAACTGTAGGTTACTCACTGAACATTCCGATATATTTGAAAAATGTAGGCCTTATACTCGATACGACGAATGATAATCGATAAGATCTCCGGCTGGCTCGAAGAGCAGATTCCAGAGAAACCGGTGCCGCTTACAGTTTACTCGACTATGTAATACATGATTAAGGACAATGCCTTACTGTACAATTATGTATGTTATTATGCGCATACATAAATTAGAATTAAGTATACATATAGCACAATCATATATACGATTACTACATCATAAGTGTTTGTACAAATTGTATGTACACCAGGTTAGGTGTTGAACTCCGTTCAAGGTGGGCCGTGTGATTAATCAAACGCTTCTCGATTTATAGACTTGTTATGTGGACGGCGATGAACGATAGCGACAGTTCTTCAAAAGCCGTCTAACAGTAAAAGACTTTGGTATTTTCTAGATCACTCTTCTACTGTCTCCATAACTGTCATCGTATACCGATTCGAAATTCCCGCCAAAACCGAGTCGTTGAAATTACTCGAATCACCGGACGAGTCTGCCCATACGATACTCGGTATGTCAGAGTTCCTTGCACGATAATCGACACGAATTACCACTCAAACTTAGTACGATTAAACGTCGTTCTGAATGGTGGTGGCGTTCGAGTTCTCCGGAGAAGTTTCATCTCTCTCCATTTCCGTGCTGTTTTCGTAGGACGTGGTGTCGTAGATGGTGGTCTCGTACGTCGTCGCATCATAAATCGTCGTTTCGTAGGTGGTATCATCCTCGTACGTCGTTGTCTCATTGGACGTCGTCTCGGTGGTCGTCTCAGAAGTGATCGTTTCGGAAGTGGTGGTTTCGGTTGTCGTTGTATCGAGAGTAGTCGTTGCGAGAGTAGTCGTTGCCGGAGTTGTCGTCGTTGTCGTCGTTGTTGTTGCAGTTTCGTAAGTGACCGCAGGTTCCTCCACGTTTAAGTCGATCTTCTCTTCGGGCGGCACAATTATGGGGAATCTGAAGGAGCTTCTGGTTTCCTCGCGAGGGATGTCCAGCTGGAACCGTTCGCTGGACTTCTTCGGGTTGCTGAAGCTGGACTGCGAACTGGAACCTCGGTTTCCGTATCGATCGTTCAATCGTTCTAACAAGAAGCTGAGATGTGCCTGAGGATTTATGTTCACGCTCTTTACGCATCTGCCCATCGCGTCCGCCCTGTAGCCCTCGGCGCAAGGTGGCAGCAGCGGCAGTTCCGGCGCGATGAAGACGCTTTTTGGTGTTATTCGACGGAGGAAGGTCGCGGAGTCTAAACTGGAGTGCGCTCCATTTTGAGAGTCCAGCAGTAACCAGGCTTGCCAGGCTATGTCGCTGGGAGAACCAAGATTCTGCGATCCCGACTCGGAGGAAGTTCTTGACGACGTTGAGGATGAGCTTGAGTCCAAAAACCTTTTTATCGAAATCGGTTCACAGTGCCTGACGAGGTCCGTCAGAATGACGACAGTGAACAGCATCCTCCAACTGGGATGCCTTCGTCTCTGGCTTGGCGTAAGCATGTTTGCTGTCTTTCAGGTTTCTTGCGGGATTCGGTCGAGGTATCTTGAAGATTCTCGTCTGAAACCTGCTCGTCACCTTCCTCTCGGAGCTCGGCACATCGAATTCGTCTGGAAATAAAGAGAAATATTTATTTATTGTGATAATAATAAAATGGTGAATCAAGTCCGTTTAACAAGGTAAAATTTTTGAGGGAGATTGGAGCTATCACGATGTGATAGTGAAAGGTTTAACCTAGTACAACCATCTTAATAGTGAAAGGTTTAACCTAACCATGACATTGAGCAATTGTGGAATTTTTTTAGAAGCAATGTGTACATCTTTGATTATATTGTTGAAGATACAAAGTGTTTTCAAGAATGTGTGAAGAAAAATAAACCAATGTTTTAGGTTAAGTTATACCAACTTTATATTTTTAAGATCAGAAACTGTACAATAGTAATTATTTAGTTGTAATTTATTTTTAAAAACTGGCAAAACGTTGTGTTAAGAAATACAGACCATATGGTCTTTTAGGTTAGGTATACTACTAAACCTAACCTAACATTTAGCTTCCAAAATGTTACAACTAAAAATTATTTTTAGCACCAGACAGTTTTAAAATTTATTTAAGCTGTTGTGTTTATTCAACTAAGTTTGACAATTATTCTTTGTCATTATAATTAATCAAAGTAAACAAATGATTAACAATAGTATAAAAATCTCAGTTGTACTTTGTTTAAAAATTCAGAATTTTGTAAACGTGAAAATTTTTGATAAAAATACACAAATTTGAAAACTGAAAATTTTTTATTTAATAAATATCCAAATTTCTTAAATTTAGATATGTCAATTTCAGTCTCAAATTGAGATAAAAATAATCAGAAATAAAAATAGTGTACAGTGTCCATTTACCAAAGAGGAGAGCGCATCAATGAGAATATCGGTTGCGGTGAATTGTCGCGAGGGGAAATATCGAAAGGGAAGGGTAACTCCATTAGAGTTATTTGTACACGACGATTGCATGGATCGATGATTCGTCAGTTTTACAAGGTATTGCATGCCCACAGCTGTGTTCATTCGCGTACATATGCAATAGAAACTGCACGCGCAACGAACGGGGAAAAGTGAATGCACGCAGATCTGTTTTTACCGTTATGCAGCCACGCCACGATTATGTCTACGTCCTGAATAGGCCATACAAATACGAGATTCGGTTTCAAGAACGTGTCAGGCATCGTTGCTTTAAAGAAAAAGAAGAAAAATAAGAGAAGAGAGAGGAGAACGTGGGATGGCGCCTGCGAAATTCGTGATCGAAATAAATTCCATTGCTAATCGGCGGCGATGAATTTCTTTTTTTACGGTCTTTTAGATCTCGTTGTTTCTACGTATACTTTCGTTTTCAATATTATGTGGTGTGCAGCTATTACTGAAATTAAGTTACAGTTTTCTTAAAAGTTTTGTGGTGGAAATAAAGAAAGTGGTTCTTGAACAGAGTTGAGCATATAAAGATTTAATTGTGTAAATCAAAGCGTTCAGCTTGTAGAATTTAATTAATCTATAGAGGAATCACGTGGTATATTGTCACTTGTTAGATATCTCGTTGGATATAAACGAGTTGGATAAGTGAGCGTTGGATATCCACACGTTAGATATGTACGTGTTGGATATCCACGCGTTAGATATTTACGCGTTAAGATCTCTATTTTTGAAATATCTTTCTGTTGGATATCTATGCGTTAAATATGTTCGTGTTAGATACCGACACGTTGAATATTCGTGTGTTATATATCAATGTACTGCGACTTCTACGCGCTGAATAATCGCACGTTCCATATTTACGCGTTCGATATCCACACGTTAGATAATTACGCAATGAATATTTATATGCTTTGCATTTAATTGTTTCCTGTTAATTGTTTACTGACTTCTTATTGTTTATTGACGATTCATTGACTTTTTCTTATAATCTAATATCTTGTTTACGTTTAGTATTCCAATATTACTTTTCTTTGTTTCTTCGTTTTCTTCAGTACATTTTAAAATCTTACAACAGTAAATATCTTCATTTTCAAGGATTTAGAAGATATTTAAATATCTTCACGCTTTACTTAATTTTAAATAAATTTACGTAAAATTACTCCACACATTTCTAAGATTTATAAAAATATTTGGATAACAATTTCAAAGCGTAGATTTTTGATTTCTTCAATATGTTAGATTCATAATTGGATCCTCTTCTGTATTAAAAAATTTATCTTAATCATATTCACGAATATTTCAAAGATAGGTGACTAGTAGCCCATTAAAACGAACGGAACGGAAAACATAATTATATACCTATTCGTCACACTTTCCCTGAACTTCTTTCACTTCGTTTAAGTGGACAAAGAGGAACTATCTCTCTGACCTCGACCCTAATTTCTATTTCCAAATCGAATTCATTTTTGTTTTTTTTTTTCGATCGTAATCCGGTTCGGAATCTAAAGCCACTTAGATGACAAACGGAAGAGGGAAAGAAAACTGGATGGTGAAATGTTGATAATCTTGTTATTAATTGTATCCGGATTTGGTGTTTTGATGCTTGAGGTTAGAGATCAGTCACGTATCTTGTTATACTATTATCTTATTATTTCACTATACAAGCATATTATACTATTTTGTTGTTATACTATATTCATATTTTATTATTTTATTATTTTACTATTTTACTGTCTTACTGTCTTACTGTCTTACTGTCTTACTGTCTTACTGTCTTACTGTCTTACTGTCTTACTGTTTTACTGTTTTACTGTTTTACTGTTTTACTGTTTTACTGTTTTACTGTTTTACTGTTTTACTGTTTTACTGTTTTACTGTTTTACTGTTTTACTGTTTTACTGTTTTACTGTTTTACTGTTTTACTGTTTTACTGTTTTACTGTTTTACTGTTTTACTGTTTTACTGTTTTACTGTTTTACTGTTTTACTGTTTTACTGTTTTACTGTTTTACTGTTTTACTGTTTTACTGTTTTACTGTTTTACTGTTTTACTGTTTTACTGTTTTACTGTTTTACTGTTTTACTATTTTACTATATTAATATTTGACTATTTGACTATGTTAATATTTTACATTTTATTGTTTTATTGTTTTACTGTTTTCCTGTTTTCCTGTTTTCCTGTTTTGCTGTTTTGCTGTTTTGCTGCTTTGCTGTTTTGCTGATTTATTATTTTACTATTTTACTGTTTTACTATTTTACTATTTTACTATTTTACTATTTTATTATTTTACTATATTATCATACAAGTCTATTATTTTACTGTGTCCGTATTATAATAATTTACTATTATATTATACCATTATTTCACTTTAATTTAATTTAGGCTTTTAAAGTATTAATTATCTGAACGACTCTTCAACTTCAGACGAGTCAACAATGAAAAGGGGTAGTTTCGACGATATGATTTACACGAGAGTTGAAAGTTGAATGCTCGTGTGTAGAAATTCTTGTTCGATGAGATATTAGGAAGAATGTGTTACATTCTTGTACACAATTATCTAAAGATGCGTGTGAACGGTGTTTGTCTCTATTAAGGGCTATTAAGGGACTAATTGCGTTATAATGATGGGAATTCCCCCTATTTAATTCTGATCTCATGACATGTGAATTTAATTCTTTCTGATTAAATTCTGGAAATTGCGATTATAATTTTTATTTGTGATAAAATATGGGGATGCATGGTAATTAAATTTTGACTATTCAGTTAAATGTAGCGTAAAAATTATGTAAAAAATTATTATTGAATATAGTGTAAAATTATCTACAAAATTATTATTAAATAAACTGTTCAGTTATGTCAAAAAATTACTATCAAATAAAGAGTACAATTATGTCAAAAAATTATTATTGAATACAGTCTAAAATTATCTAAAAAGTTATTAGACAAAGTGTAAATTTGTCTCAAATGTGATTATTGCATAAAGTATAAAATTATCTAAAAAAATGATTACTAAATAAAGTATAAAATTGCATTAAAAAATTATTACTAAAAACAGAATAAAATTGTTTAAAAAAATTAATATTAAATAAAGTGTAAAATAGGAATCCATCATTTTTACTTTCTAGCACACTGCATCGATGGCATGTGCAGTAACCGAATTAAATTTATTGGTAAATTACATCAAGTCGCCCTATACAGAGCTGTGTCCGTAGTTAAAATTATAATTGGATTCACTTTACTCCAAGAGTTAGCATAATTTATTCCCCTTTCTGTTTTTATGCAACGCTTATTTTAATTTCATGAAGGTTTATTTTAGATCATAACAAGAAAATAGTTTTAGCTCTCCAGGATTACTGTTTGCTAAACATGACACACTTTGTTAGTGAATTTATTAAAAATTTATTATTCTCTCAGTATTTGTTTTAATTTGCTTTATACAAATGGAGTTGTGCCTTACATGTTACTTAAACATGATGTAACAGATCTTATTGCACAGTTTTATTCATAATTTTCTGAGTAGTATTGCAAATTTATTTTACATAAATAATTTTTTACATTTATTAAATGATAAATAAATTTGTTTGTTTTAAAAGTTGATCACAAGAAAAATCAAATTTTGTATTTTTTTTAATGTGAAATAAAAAATATAAGCATTGTTTACAATTATTATGATGATTATTGCAATTATCAATATTCACAATTGTTATTAAAGTCAGAGTTTATGGTAACAATATTTCATAGCAACAAATATCACACAGTAAATTCACAAAGATTGAATAACAAAATCTTACCTAATTAAATATTAAAATTTTTATTAAATTTTAATGAAATTTTAAGTTAATTGGACTCAAATAATCGTAAAATTAAATTAAAACTAAATTAAATTAAATTAAAACGGCCATAAAACTTCAAATGTTTAATTTTAACAATAAAATGAATAATTATATTTCTATTAATAAGCGATTGTTTCAATGTACATTAACCTACACCTCCCAAAATTTTTAAGTCTGCTACAGATCACGTTTTTCGCCATTTTTCGAGTGAGTCACGCGAAATCGAGAATAACATTATAAATTATGCGATCCAGTTTGATTTCCGCGTACTTAAACAAATCGCACAAACGATGATATTATTCCAGACGATTGCGATC